CCCCGTGCCTGACTTGCTCCACTTATTTTCTGGTCTCCTTTTAGAAGTTGAATAATGTCAGCTTGTTTCCCTCATGTCCTTAAATGCCCCTCACAAATACGAGTTGAGTGCTTTTTCTGTGTGTTGCACACCATGAAGCCCAGTTTCCCTGTGCCCGCCTTGCACTGGACACTCAGATCCCTCCTCTACTTTCTAATCAGCACCGTGGCGGGCCCGTGCCTGCCCACGGCCCGTGCCTCTTCTGTTATCCAACCTGGGCAAATCTGCACAGGACAGGGCTGTGTCCACACCTGCAGCCCTGTCCTTCCCCACGGTGATCCCCGGTCAGCCACACCACCACCCCCAGCAGAATGCGAAGTTCTCCTTCACCACTTCCTGGGGTTGACTTGAGAGAAAAAAAACAAAAACCCACAAAAGCAAATTTAAGTTGCTAAGGGCATTTCTGTTTTTTCATTCTGTAAAAAGAATCCACTCCACCAAAAAGCATTCTAGAGGATAAAAGTATATAGAGTGAAAAGGTAAGAGCCCTCTGTGCACTGCACCCACCGAAATCCCACTCCCACGGAGCTCAGCCGGGGGCAGCATGCGGGGGATGCACATGGTGCAGCGTGCCCATAGGAGGCGCGTCCATGGCTCTCCTGGAACCTTCGGTACCTTCTGCTGTACACCTGTGGTATGTGTGAGGCTACAGAGGTCTGTCACAGGCTCCTAAATCTCATCCAGCAAAACAAGCAAAGAACCAATTTCACATGCGGCCCATTCTTTCTGTTGTCGTTGTTGATGTCTCATTAGGTAGTGTATGCTGGCTTTGAGCTCCCTACGTAGTCCACGATGGTCTCGAACTCCATGCAATCCTCCTACCTCAACCTTCTCAGTGCTGGAATTATAGGTGAGTGAAACCACGCTTGACTAGCAGCCTTCTTCTTTCAGGGCTGCGTATTATTTTATCCTTTCATGGCTGAGAAGAGCCATTATTTCTAGCCATATGTCAAACATATTTTTAAAAATGAACTTTATAAAAATAATACAGAGAGGGGTGTGTTCCAAGACTCCCAGGGAATACCTGAAACCACAGGTAGTACCAAACCCTACATATACTGTGCTTTTTCCTATCCACATATACCTACAATAAAAGTTTAATTTATAAATTAGGCATAATTGCCAAGTGTGGTGGTACACACCTGTAACCCCAGCACTTGGGAGGCTGAGGCAGGAGGATCGCTGCCAGCTGGAGGCAGGCCAACCTGAACTCCAAAATGAGACCCTGTCTCCAAAGAAAAAAAAAGTAGGCATAGTGAAAAATCAGCAACAATGATAGAACAATTATGACAGTATGCTCTAATAAAAGTTGTTTAAAATTTCTAGAATTTTCCTTGTGATATTTTCAGACTGCGGTTGACCGCAGGTAACTGAAGCTGTGGAAAGCAGAACTGTGGATGCCGGGCCACTGTGTGAGTGAAGAGTTCGGCAGTGGCTGTGTGTTCACTTCCTGGGGTCTATGAATGTTCCTTCCGTGAACTTGAGTGCTTCATGCTCCAGATGTGGCGCCAAAGATAGAGCTGTGTGTGAAAGCAGAAATTATTCCTCTCCTAATGCAGATGATAGTCCATAAAGGGAAGTCCCCTGGCCCCGCCGCCCTGTCTCTGCTGCTTTCAGGTTGGAGGAGGAGAGGAGAGGCCTTTTTGTGGAAGAGCCAGCCTGGTAGAAGCCCTTTAGAGTGGGCCAGGGCAGCCGTCTACCTTTCTGGGGACGGCCATGTCAACTCCCATTTCCGGAACACAGGGCTCAGGGCCACCCCCACAACAGCCCAAGGAGAGCTTGAGGTGGTTGGGCTGCAAGGATGGGCGCCCCACCCTGCACCCTGCACCCTGCACCTTACATCCTGCACCCTGCACGCTGCACCCATTGCACCAGCCTGTCTTTGGAGCTGCAGGGGAAGCAGCGGCTGCCCAGAAAGCCGGCTGGCACTGGTTTCCGGCAGGGCACCGGCCCCACTGTGTGTTGTGAAATTGGGTGGCTTCTCTTTCTCTTCCTCCTCTGGAAGGAACCGCAAACTCTGCCGTGCTGGGAGCAGTCAGCTTCTGGAGCGCCTGGGTCTGAGAAGCCATTGCTGTCCCAAGGGATTTCCTGGCGTGGGACCCCAGCTGGTGACGATTGGGACGTGCAGGGCACCAGGCTTTTGTGGGCTGACTGGGTAGAAGAGGGGTGAACCCAGCCCCCATGCCTGCCCAGAAGGCCCCACCAGTCAGCAGCAGAGCTCTTTCTCACCTGTGTCCGCCTGCACCTGGCCCCAACCCCGGAGGTGTCAGAGCTCCCTGTGCCCTCTGACCAGAGCGGTACTGTCAGCGCTACAGGGCTGAGATGGAGACCAGCGTCCTGGCTGTTCCCTGGAGGGCTACAGCTCAGCCTAGCCCACCCCTGCCGTTCTCATCCCTCGTGTGTGTGTGTGTGTGTGTGTGTGTGTGTGTGTGTGTGTGTGTGTGCCATTGTGAACTTACCAGGAGCAGCACTGGGAACTGTCACTGTTTACCAATGTCCTTTTCTTCTCTGCTTGGCCCTACACATTGGTTCTGCAGACCAGTTTCTCTATACTGCAGATGGGGAAACTGAGTCACAGAGGTTTTGTGCCTGTCCTGGCCTCCAGCTGTCTCCAGCTCTAGTTGCTTCCAATCCTGTGTTCTCTCTCTCCTACCTGCCGCGCTGTCTGTCCTGGTGTGTCCCTCTGGCCTGTCTGTGCAGCTTCTGGTGTCTGCAGTTCTGCTCTACCTGGAAAGGCCTCCTCTCGATCCTACCTCCATGCAAACTGGGGCCCTCGCCAGAGCCTGTCCCGGCCGACCTCCACAGCCCTCCTGGACTTCATGCCCAGAGTTGGTAGCCAGGGTTGATACGGTATGCAAGGCTGCGGAAGAAGACCTCTCTTCCTCCTCCTCTCCATCCTGCTCCTCTCTCCTCCCCCTTCCTGTACCTCAGCTCTGCTGGGAGCTCAACCCCACCCTGTCTCAGTCCCTGCACAGCTCTAGGTCCACTGTGACTACCTGAGGCCTCTGTTCCCCCAGGAGCTTTGCACAGCAAGGTCAGGGCTTAGTTTACTTTGGTACCAACTGCAACCTCTGCTTCCCACCCAGCTTTTCTTTTCTTTTTTTTCCTTGACAAGTGCACTTTAATTTTTTACTTATTTATTTTAAAGAAGATAAAATAGAATAAACCAATCAAAACAAACCAGAGTAAGAGGCACAGGCCTAAAAGCATTACAAAATCAGCAACAGTTACCATAATACCTTTTGATGTTTTCAAAATAGTTTCAAATAACTTCAGACATAGTCAAAATCAAGCAGAACCGAACAGAATCAAGTCAATGAATGCAGTAAAGGACTTCACAACAAGCCAATAGTAAATCCAGAATGGCTAACATAATGTATCTTGCTGTCTTTGGAATAGCTACTCCTGCCATTGGATATAACAAAATCAAACAAAACAAAACCCAACAAAATAATGGAAATGATATAGGACCTCAAAACAAGACCATAGAGAGTCAACAATGGCTACATCCCTCTGAAGGAGACCCCCCCCCAGATACCACACTGCGTACCGCCATCCTCTGAACCCATGATCGGACCTCTGGCCCTCGACCTGCAGAGTTAGTGAAACACCACCCTTCACCTCTATGGCTGTCATCACAGCCTGTTTCTCCAGATAACCCGGTCGCTTGGGTGGGTAGGGGGCGCTGTGGGATGGTTCTTTTCCTTTGCTAGCCTGAGTCCTGGAAGGGGCTGGGGTCTGCTGTTTCAGCCTGGCTGGGTCTCCGCGCCTGGAGCTGCTTCTCAGGCTACATTTGCTCCCTGATTTTCATTGTTTTGTTAGTCCTGAAAACCATACATGTTCATCATGACAGAGAATTCCCAAAGTGGAGGGACCCTTGCCTGGCCTCATCACCCATGGGCATCCACTTAACCAGCTGGGTGAATTTCCACCAAGTCACTCTGTGTATGCTTAGGTCCTTTTGGGTGGGTGGGTGGGGGCAACAGGGGGGGGATGATTTTGACCACACAATGTATACTTTTGTAAATGTCCCCTTTCCTCACTTTTATGAATAAAAATCAATAAATACATAAAGTAAAAATGTTTTGAGACAGGGTCTTACTCTGAGTTTAGGCTGGGTTTGAACTCACTATGTAGCCCAGGCTGACCTTGAACTCTCAGCAATCCTCCTGCCTCAGCCTCCCAAGTGCTGAGATTACAGGCATGCATCACCGTACCCAGTTCTGAATAAAATATTTTACACTAAAATACTTTAAAACTAATTTTAACAACTATCGAATATTCCATCACATGGTGTTGTATCATTTTTCTTAACCTATTCAATTATTTAACCTTTACTATATTTCTTTCTGGGAAAGAGAAGACACTAAACAAGTTTAAATGCCTTAGTATTATAATGCCACTTGGATGGACTGGATCAAAAGAGTATGGATATGGGGTAAAAACTCTTTATTTACCAGACAGATTGCTTTCCTAAAGGCACAAGCCACTTTCTGAGCCCATGTGCAAGTAGGGAAGAGGCATCTCAGTCTGAGTGTTTGTTTTGATTTGTTTTGTACACAGAGTCCAGGCTGGCTTGGAACTCACTATGTAACCCAGGCAGGCCTCAAACTCAAAGGGATCATTCTGCCTCAGCTTCCTGAGTGCTAGGATTCCACCCCTAGCTCTGAGTCTGTGTTTTGTTGTGTTTTTTTTTTGTTTTTTGTTTTGTCTTTTTCGTTTTTACCGGTACCGGAGATCAAACTCACGACTGCCTGCTTGCAAGGCAGGCGCTTATGCCGCTGAGCTAAATCCCCAGCCCCTCTGAGTCTGTTTTTACTGCAGCAGTTTGCTAGATAGAAAATAATATCTGTTAGTCACTTTGGAATGCGTATCTGTGAGTCCACAGCACAGACTCGTAACCCAGGGCTATGGGTGGAGGAATGTCCCTCAGATGTTTCATCTGAGATTTTGTCTTGCAGCTGACTTTGGTGTGTCTGCCAAGAATCTGAAAACTCTGCAGAAACGAGATTCCTTTATAGGAACGCCTTACTGGTAAGCTGCATGGTTTCTGGAAATTGAATGGTGGGCTGAGCGTTAAAACCTAAAACTCTAACCTCAGAGTAAATTAGGGGCACCGAGGGCTGGCTGAGCCAGCTTCCATTTGCCACTCAGCTTCCCTGTGCCTCAGTTTCCACTTCTGAAAATGACTGTGGTAAGGGTGTCTGATAAGAGCCGAATCTGTGCAGAGGGGCTCAGTTTTGATTCACGCATCCGGCACACACTGATGCGGGCACTGGCTGGTATGAGCGCTGGGTGGGTGAGCAGTCCAAGGCCAGTACTTACCCTCGCCCAAGCCTCCCTGCAATTCTCTAGTCTCCTGTGTTTCCTTCTTTACTAAAACGGTTACTTTAAAAGAAACAAAACTCTCACTCAGTTTCCCGCCTAATTGCTTTCTGTTTCGCGGTATTTTCACAAATTGCCATTGTGGATTGAGCTCCTTTCTTGCATATTTCTCGTAACCGGTTCTCTCTCCCCCTTTTTCTTCCGCTCTCCTCTTCTCTCCCGGCCCCTTTCTCTCTGTGCTGTTGTAGTGTCCCCCACCCGCCCCCTTCCCTCCTGCCGCACCTCACCCTTCGGCTCCCACCCGTCCTCCTCCAGGACTCTGTGTTCTGGATCGCTGCCGCCACCTGGTGGCTGGTCTTGGGAACTGCAGCGGGCATGGCGGCGCCCCCGTGAAGGTGAAGACGAAGGTCTAAGGAAGACAGTGGGATGGATGTCAAGTAATCCAAATCACGGTTGGGGAATGCTGCCGCCCCCGACGCGGGCTGGTGGTGGTCCTTGACCCTGCATGAGAAGTAGCTGTGAAGCCCAGTGCTTAGCCCTCTGTTGTCCCTTGGTTGGTTCAGGATGGCCCCTGAGGTGGTGCTCTGCGAGACCATGAAGGACACGCCGTACGACTACAAAGCGGACATCTGGTCCCTGGGCATCACGCTGATTGAGATGGCACAGATCGAGCCCCCGCACCATGAGCTCAACCCCATGCGGGTCCTGCTCAAGATCGCCAAGTCGGATCCTCCCACGCTGCTCACACCCTCCAAGTGGTGAGGAGTGGGGGGACCTGCCCGGGGTGGGGGCGCTGAGGGATGCAGGGTCTTTCAGAGTTCCCTGCTTTCTTCTCTGTGCTGTGGGCATGGGAGCTAACCAAGCTGATCCCACGGGGGCCTGAGGGCTCAGACCAAGCCCTAGCAGCCCCCTGAGCTGGGAAAAGGAGGCTAAGTGGCCGTCACCCCTGCATGGCCCTAGCAGGTCCCTGCTGCTCTGGGGTTTCCATGCCACCGTCTGGAAGGTGGTTTCCAGGATGAGAGGGGGCATTGTACCTCTCATGGTGGGTGCACTCCCACCATTGTGGCCCCCGAAGGCACCCTTATCCTTGATGATTCATCGGGCTTCTGTGCTGTGGGGGGACCGGCTCACCTTCTCCCCGCCCTGTACCCACTGCCGATGCCTGTGCTCTCAGGTCCGTGGAGTTCCGAGACTTCCTGAAAGTAGCCCTGGATAAGAACCCAGAGACCCGGCCCAGTGCTGCGCAGCTGCTGGAGGTGAGTGCACCCCTTTTCTGGGGGCCGCCCACAGCCCTCCTGCTTGTGCTCTGCAGGTGGATGAGCACATGTGTGACCTGGGTGCTAGCCGCCTTCCTCACCTGGTGCAGCCACCTGCCTGGCAGCTGGGTCAGCCTCATGCCCAGGTCTTGGGGGATGTGCAACAGGGTCATGTGGATTACATGGGCTTGAGCTCATGTAAGAGGGGAGAGAACATTTAGCTTTATATGGGAACCAGTGGACATTGTGTGGGACCAGAGGACTGAATGTCACATTGGCTGGCTGCACAGCCCTAGCATGGCCAAGAGGCTGTGTCTTTGAGTCTTCTAAATATAGTCAGGAGCCTTATTTTCCCAGGCTAATGCTGCAGCTGCTGAGGTGAGCACTAGTGTTCACACCATTAGCCACCCCGTCAGTCACTGTCCCTGTGCCACCACCACGGACAAAAGAGAGGGAAGTGGGCCTAGGTCATGCAGAAGGGCTGCCCCTCCACTGCTATGCCCGCTCTGCTGACCTGATGAAAGTCATTTCCTAAATCCACCCAGTTTCCCCCAGCTACCTACTGTGGGCCAGGCATGGGGCCTGAAGTTGATTGACGTTTGGGCTTATAATTCATCCTTCTGACTTTGAGATTACACATATGAACTGGAGTTGGAAAGTCCTGGGTTCAAATCCCAGTTGTGTATCTTAATGGCTCTGAAATCTTGGGCTGATGGCTTAACCTCTCTGGGCCTTGGTTCCTGCTCTTGAGTGGGGATTGATAGGCATGGCCCCCTCACAGAATGGTTATGAGGATTAAATGAGAAGATACTGTGTTAACTGTTAAGTACTGTGCAGAAGGAATATTTGATATACTGAATTTATTGTTTGGAAATGAAAAGGGTCCAGTGTGCACAATGGGGTCCTGATTGTTCCTTTGAAGTTTCTTCAGTCTGCTTAAAAACGAATATGTGGAGTTCTAGACAGCCTCATTTTCTGGGTATTGCAGTGTGCACTGGGGGTGGGAGGCTGCTGTCACTGTCAGATGCCAAAGCTCCAAGCCACTCGGGGCCAAATGTTTCCTGTGAGCTGGCTCCTCCTGCCCCGATGCATCCGGCCCGCAGGACATTTCGCAGGGAAGGGACCAGCTGTCCTCAGCCCACTCAGCCCCAGAGCCTCAGGCCGAGCCAGGAATTTCCGCTCCATAGTTGGAAAAAATGTCCTGCCAGGGGACTCAGCAGACGGCAGATGGGTTACAGAAGAAAGCAGAGATCTCTCTGGAATGATGAGACCCCTTCATAGCTGGTGCTATCTCCAGCTTTTTCTGTGTGCCTTGCTGTTTCTGAGATACGGAGGGTACAAACACACTTACCCTGGAGATGTGAGGGAGAAGTGACTTGCTCAGGGTCACTTGGCTTTGAGTGCCAGAGGTGGGTACAAATCTTGGCTGCCCAGCAGCTGTCTGTGTCCCACATAGACCTACCTGCTTCCGGGAGGCACTCCCTGTCCTGTCTGCCCCTGAGTGACTCCTGCCCCAGGGGTTTATGGTTCATTCATTCACTGGTACAGATACTCTGTGGAACAGTGTCCTGCCATAGTTAGTGACCCAGGCTCTGAACTCAGGCTCACCCTCAAATCTGGGTAGGTCTCTGTGCCTCGGGGTCCCCATCTCTAAGATGTGGCTGGCACTTGCTTCACAGAGTGGCACTGGCGAATGTGACCCTGTAGATACCATTTTTAGCAGCACTGCCATCACAGAGTAGGTGCTTGAGAGATGCTGGTTGGCTTTGATCTGAAACCCACCCGCTCTCTCACAACTGTCCTGATCAAGATCATCTGTGACATCTGTATTGTTGACAGCTCAGGCCTGTCTCCCCGAGCCTGATGGCAGTGTCAGCCACAGTCTAGTGTCTTCCTTGCCTCTCTGCACTTGACCTCCAGGCCTCGTGCGCACTGGGTCTCCTCTCACTAGTCTGCTTCCTCCTTGCCCTGGCTGATGAATGTGGACGTCTCCTCCATCGCCACTCACCCTCCCCATCTCATCCTGTTTGCAGTGACCTTTGGCCTGGGGTTCTCCTCCTCCTCCTCCAGGTGCTGGGCCTGGCGTTTATTTCTGTCTCCCTTTGGGTGTCCAGTAGATGTCCAAACTGATGGTGGCCACACCGAGCCCTGGACCCTTCCCCAGCACACAATACCCACAACTGTCCCGGCTCAGACCTTGGCCAGCTCGGGCTGCAGACCCTGCAGGCCTCCTTGCTTTTCTCTCCCCTGCCATGGCCATCGGAACAGGGATGCTGCTGCCCTGGCCTTCAGGATGCATCCTCCACGCCAGCTTCCATGACCGCCACCATCTGAGCCTCGTTCTCCCTAGCCTCTCCGCCATCTCCCCTACAGTTGTTAACTTAGCGGGGTAGGAAAGCTTGCCAACACAGTCCGGCTCCCGTCCTTCCCCATCCAAGCTCCAGAGCAGCTCCCATCCCTCTCAGTCCAGTGCTGAGCCTCTGTGACCCGTGAGACCCTGTGTGATCTGCCCACCCTACTGACCTCCTCTCCTCATCTCTTGCCCTCACTCCTGTGGCCACCCTGGTCATCTTGTTCTTCAAGACACAAGACGCAGTCCTGTTGCAGGGCCTTTGCACTGGTGCTCTGCTCCACATGGAAAGCTCTTCCCCCAGACCTCCCCTAAAGACAGAGCTAGGATTCCGATCCTGGTGGTTTGGTTCCAGAGTCTGTGTGTTGCCTGCTCTGCTAAGATGCCTTTCCAAACAAATGAAGGTGAGGAAGAAAGAATAATAGAAAAAAGACAGTGGGAGAGAGAATTAAAAATGTTGGGGCCTAAAACCCTAAGAGCCCTGTGAGACATTTTCTAAAGCCCTGGGCTGGTGATTGCTAAGCACACAAGGAGAATTAAAAATAGGCTCAAATTCCTTAAAAGGGTGTGTGTTTAATGGTAGGAGAGAGCCTAGCCGGAGGGCCAGGCCCATTGGCAAACTTTGTGGTGCCACCCTCATCCTGGCACCTCGAGACGTCCAGCAGTGATGGCCCTGAACAGCCGCCCCTCTTCACTCCTATTTCTGAACGGCTGGTCATCAGGAAGGCTCCCACCTTCCCTGTGGCATTGCCTGGACACTGTGTCTGCAAGGGGCCTTGGTGACATGGAGGCTGGAGGGAGAGGCTTCCCTGAACACTTCCTGGGGGGCCTCGGAGCCAGTGCAGTGCGGAGTCCTGCCTTGGTGTTCCAGAAGTGCCCTGCTTGCTGGCCCCTTCCATGCCATTCCTCCCACTGCTTCCCTCCTCTCCTGGGGACCATGGTGCTCAAGGCAGGCAGCGAGCAACAGAACGCAAGGTTCCTGGCCACAACAAGCAGCCACTAATTCGGTCCGTCTGTGGAGCGCCCTGGTGCAGATTTAGTGTTGCCCGGAGCCTGTACTGTGTTGTTTCTTTCTACCGTGTCCACTTTGGCTGCTGCAGCAAAGTGTCCCTTGGCGTCTCACTCAGTCACGTGTGTGAGGCCACACAGTGGAGCTCAGGCAGCTCTGGTATCTTGGGTCTCAGCCTCGCACCCAAAAAGCCATGCTCTGTGAGTAGAGGAGTAGCCAGCCAAAGGGGCCTGCTGGACTGTGCTGCTGTTTCTGCTGCTGGAGGAGCTGGGAGTGAGGGTGCAGACAGAGACTGGGGAAGGGTGTGGATTCCCCAGGGATGTGGGGATGCGTGGTGGTGATAGTAATGATGGTGACAGTGACAGTTATGGTGATGGTGACCGTGGCGGTGGTGATAACGTGGTAGCTGCCCTATTTCAAGCACTTTTGCCATACCTCTGTCCTTACTGTACAGAGAGGTCTCACGACTTGCCCAGGTTAGTAGCGGAAACTAGATTTGACCCTAGGTGGACTGGCTCTGCCACCCATGATTAGTAAGCCCTTAGCAATACCCACTCAAGACCTCTTGAAACCACTCAGCAGCCAGAGTGACATCTTTAATGGGTAACAGTGGCTTCCAAAAATAAAGGGGCCCTAGGCCCTGCATGCACCACCCATCCTGCCTCTTCCTCCTATCCTGCCTGCACCCCAATCCTGGCCTTCCAGCACACTGAGTCCAGTCCTGCCTCAGGGCCTTTGCCTGTGCTGCTCTTGCTGCCTGAAACTCTGTGTCGAAGCCATGACCTGGTTTGTCCCTGTGCATCCCCTGGATCTGAGCTTGCTGCAGCCTCCTTAGGGAAGCGCCTGGTACCAGCGCAGGCTCACATGACCTTCACCATGCTCTTGGGCCTTCTGCTGCCCGTTCCATCACAGGCTTATCTCAGCACCTGGCATGTGTCACATCGCTCACCTCACTGCACAACTGTGGAATGAAGCAGCACATAAAACAGGAAAGTGAAAAAGCAAGCAAATAAATTCAGAAAGTCTCACTAGACGGGAGGAACTGGAGGAAAAAAGACTGGCTTAGGAAGAGGTGAATGATAGGGCTTGTTAGGTGCAGTGACATTTACAGCTCTCAAGTGAGCAAGTTGGAGAGGCCACTGCCTTCTGCAAATGAACTTTTGTTTATTTTTTTATTTTGTGGGGCCGGGGATGGAACTCAGGGCTTTGTGCGTGGGAAGGGGCTTCACGCAGAGCTCAGGAAGAAGCAAGCCAAGCAGATAAGAATGATTTATGGTGAACATACCAGTTCTGAATGTGTTTTTAAAGTGAGAGAAATTTATCCTTTCATCATGCGTACTTCCCCAGCAGTCTTGTTGATACTGTTCTGCTGATAAAATTTCTGAAAGCAAAGCAGTAAATTTCAACAGAGCCTTCTTATAAAATTTCAAATGAGTAAATTACAACTTCCCGACTCCTCGGTCTTCTCTCGCCCTCCCTGTCTTTCCCATGGCTCGGGTGAGTGCTGAATGAGGAATCCCATATCCCAGCCACACCCTGGGGCTAGGTGACAGCACCTGAAGGTGGGCTTTTACTCACTTAGGGTACCTTTGCAGATTTAACATCCTTGCACCTTTGCACTAACTTTTTTTTTAAAGTGATTTTTTGGGGGTAATTTTTATTTTTTTATTTTTGTCTTTTTCCTTTTTATCGGTACCAGGGATCGAACTCACGACTGCCTGCTTGCAAGGCAGGTGCTTATGCCGCTGAGCTAAATCCCCAGCCCCGGTAATTTTTATTTTAAAGAAAATAAAACCAAGCAAAATAAAATAGTATTAGTGATACAGGACTTCAAAACAAGATAATGAGAAATTGAAAATAACTACCATAATATATCTTGTTATTTTTGAAATAGCTGCCCGTGCCATTTAGATATAATAAAACAGAATAAAACCCAAGCAAACAAAACAATGAGAATGATACAGGACTTCAAAACAAGATAATAGGGGATTGACGATGGCCACCACCTCCAGAAGGAACCCCCCATAGACACTTTGCATATTGTTATCCTCTGAATAGATGATCAGACTGCATTAACTTTTTAAAACTGTTATTTCTGTGAATGTTGAGAGTGGAACATTTGCCTCAAGAATTCACATTTCTTTTCTTAAAGCTGAGTACCTGTGTCCACCCAAAAGTGACAACATGTACACCACTGTTTACGGCAGTGTCGCTCAGGGTCACCAAAACCGGGAAATGACCCATGAGTCCAGCAGCGAATAAACAGACCATGACACATTTACACAGTAAAGAAAGGATCAACTGGATGAGCGACAGAGCTCAGTAGCAGAGCATGTGATTTCCTCTTAGTGTGCATAAGGCCCTGGGTTTGATCCCCAGCTCTGCTACACACACACACACACACACACACACACACACACACACACCTGTGCTTGATGACCCTGTGCATAGGAAGTAAAGCTCAGGCAGAACTCATCTTTGGAGATAGACAGCCAGGGAGTGGGTGCCTGCAAGCTGTGGCCAGGGAACGTTCCAGCATGATGGAAATGTTTGTGTGGCAATACTGGGGATTGAAACTTTGCACTGAGCTACATCTCCTACCCGTTTATTACTTTGAAGACAAGGTCTCCTTAGGTACCCAGGCTGGGCTCAGACTTGCAGTCCTCCTGCTTCAGCCTTCCTCAGTACTGAAATTACACCACCAGGTGAAATTGCACCACCAGGCCTGGCTGAAATGTCCTGTATCATTATCTGAGTGATGGTTAAATATGAAAAGTTATCATCAGTCTTACCAATGTATGAGTTTTTACTGCATGTAAAGTCTAACTCAATAAAATATACATGTGGCATATTAATAAAACTACATCAAAACCTTGTGGAAGGAAAATAAATATGCACATAAATCCTCGAGCATTGCTTGATCTCCTGCTTTGACCCTGAAGCTGTCATGTGCATTCTCTTATTTCATCTTCGTGACCTGCACGTGGCACTGGCATTATTGTCTCCAAGGTTGCAGGGTGTAAGTGATGTGCTGAAGGTCACACGGCTCGTGAGCGGAAGAGCTAGGATTTTCCCTCTTCCTACCACATGTGGGACTTCTGAGCTGCCTCTGCATTTCCCAGTCGAATTCATGTTCATGCGTGGTGCAGGGCTGTGTCTGTCCTTCTCTTCCCTGAGGACTGGCTTCCGGGCTGCTCCCCCCAGGTGCCCGCTCTTCTCACACAGATGTGTTTGCCTCCTCAGCACCCCTTTGTCAGAAGCATCACCAGTAACAAGGCTCTGCGGGAGCTGGTGGCCGAAGCCAAGGCTGAGGTGATGGAGGAGATAGAAGACGGCAGGGACGAGGGGGAAGAAGAGGACACCGTGGATGCTGCCTCTGTAAGTGCAGGAAGTGCGGGGGCCAAGGAGGGCCGGGACACAGCAAGCCGTGGCTCATGGAACCGAGACTGGGGAAGAATTCCGTTGTGCTCCTGCTCAGCTCAGAGGTTCAGAAGCCCACGCTACGGGTTACATAAGAGGGCGCACAGGGCAGGCTGTTGGCCCGATCCTGAAAATTTCAGGAGAGACCCAGAATCTAGATTTTACCCTGAAACCTTCCCATTTATAAAAGTCAGTGACTAGGTCTTCGCTTCCCAGTGTTTTCTCTGATGTGGTTCACGTGGATGCTTTTAGCACACTTTGGGATAAACAGATCAGCAGCATATGGTCAGAGGCAACTGGCCAAGGGACAGCGGCCACCTGAACCCCATCTGGCTGCCCCAAGTGTCAGGAGTCCAGTGACTTGGTGTGTTTGTAACTCATTTGCAGTGTCAGGACTTAGCGAATTTAATTAGTAATAGCAGCGAATTTAAACTGATAAAATCATTTGAGCCAAGCCTGACGTATATGGGGGCTGCAGCCGTCCTGGTCCCTGGTTGACCTCTGTGGGGAAGCTCCCTCCACAGGGCACTGGTTATCTTGATCATCCCTGTGCCCAGGGAAGCAGGCTTGGATGTGCCCATCAGCAGAGCTGCCCCACATCTGCTCTCTGGGGGTGTCGCTGCTTTCTTTGGTTTAATTTGGTCCTGGGAGGGGGCCTGAGGCTGGTGTGAACCCCCACCCCAGGATGCAGATAAGCTGAGGGTGAGTGGGATCCAGCCAGCCGGAGCCCTGAGCCCCCACCTTACAGATGAGAAAACTGAGGTCTGGGCTGGGATGTTCCTGGCTGGGTGGACACATGTGGGCAGGGAGTAGAGAGGAACTGTAGCTAGTCTGGCTCCAGAAGGGAACCCATGCTGGTGATGGGGCTGCTGCAGGGATTCTGAGGAGGCAAGAAGGAGTGAGAGGCAAGTAACAGTCAAGCCACAGGCAGGAAGCTGATCCGTGTCCTGAGGACAGTGGGAGCCATGGAGGGCTTTAGGCAGGGGCTGGTTATTAATGTGAATGTGACAGAATTAGATCTAAGTGTTTGAACTGCTGCCCTGGGTATTGAATAGAGAGTAGATTAGAGTTTCCTCTGTTGGTCACCGTATCCAAAGCCTAAAACAGAGGCTGGCAGGACTCAGAGTATTTAATATGATCCCACTGGACTCAAGTTGGTAACAGGCAGACACTTGAGGGCGTAGTGAAGACAGGGAGTGTGTGGAGGGGAGGGAGAAGATTGCCACTGGGAAGGAAGGAAGGACTTACCTGGAAAGTGGCCATGGGCTCTCACTTTGTTCCTCTAGCTGGGCAGTCATTTTATTTGTCTAGTTTTCAATATTTGAGAAGTCAGAAGTTCTGGCCACTGGGGCTTGGCCACACTCTCACGATTGGAAGAGCTGAGTGGCCACTGGGTCCTTCCCCCAGCTGGCCATAGCTTCCTGGGAGGGAAAGCAGCTCTTCATTTAAGGTTGCATTAGAGATCGTCTGTAAATTCTATTCCTCAAACTAAATAGTCATCTCACCATGAGACTGTGTTTGATGGCATTCAGGCGATGGGGGCACTGTGGTTTAGACATTGCTCCCTCTACTGTCCTAGCCCTGACCTCGTCACTGGGGTGTGACTTTCAGCCCCACTGTGTCCCTCACTGTCCCCTTGGATAGGCAGCACCGTGGTCTCAACTCTTCTGTTTTTTTCCCCAGGCCATTGGGAACGACAATCAGGACTCTTCGGAGGCGAATCAGCAGGGCCTCAATGCCAACCAACTTCAGGAATCTGCTGCACCGCTGCCACCCAGCCAGCCTCAGGACAGTGTGAATGGGCCCTGCAGCCATCCTTCTGGGGATAAAGCCCTCCAAGCTCCCTGCCCCCCGGATGGAGCCCCTGCAAGTGAGAATTGCCTACCTGTGCCTGTTCCCCTCCGGAAGTCCCGGCCAGTGTCAATGGATGCCAGAATTCAGATCGCAGAGGAGAAACAAGTCAATCACCAGGCTGGGGACCTCAGTCCTGCAAGCAGCAGGTCCCAAAAGGCAAACCAGAGCCGGCCCAACAGCAGTGCCCTGGAGACCTTGGGCAGCGAGAAACTGGTCAACGGCAGCCTGGAGCTGCCCACCCAGTTGGTGCCAGGCCATTCCAAGAGGGCCTCGGACTCAGGCAGTGTGTCCACCTGTGAGAGTATAGACTACAACACCTCCCTGTCCACCGACCTGTCCCTGAACAGAGAGTCAGGCTCACTGTCCCTCAAGGTAATGCCACCAGCTGTGCCATGGGCTTGGAGCAGGCGTTCCAGGACGTGCTGCTGTTGGGTTTGGTTCTCAAAAGCATTGATTGGCTGCCTTCCGTGGGCTGCAGTGTGGGGATTCAGGACGTCTACTCCGTGTGTACTGATTGAATCTGGGTAGTTGGTGTTTCCATCTCCTTGTCATTTCTTTGTGTTTGAAGCCTTCAGATTCTCCCAGTTCTTTATAAAACATAGGGGCTGGGGACTTAGCTCAGCGGCATACGGGCCTGCCTTGCAAGCAGGCAGTCGTGAGTTCGATCCCTGGTACCAATAAAAAAGGAAAAAGACAAAAAAAATTTAAAAAAATAAAATAAAATATAGAGTAGGTTGTTACAAACTGTAGTCACCCAACTGTGGGCAGCAGCTCTTATGTAGAAGCATTACTATCCTTAGGGCTGAAGTCCTTTCCTTTCTTATCCTCAAAAGATACTTGAACATTTTTTCTTTTAAAAATAAACCCAGAAGAGGGCCTCCCCAACCTCTTCTCAAGGTATTAAGGATGTTCTTGGTTGGCTGCTGTGAATCAGGGAACACAGGCTGGCCTGGAAGGGTCCACATGCTGCATAAGTGCCTCTAGCCTGGCCAGGACCCCAGGACTTTGGGGACGGGAGGCTGGTAATCTAAAGGACTGTTCACAAGTGGGTTTTGTTTCTGACTGCTGGCCTACCATCTTGAGTCTTGCAATGTGTGCTGGACACTTTGGAGAGATATCAGGGTTGGGTGGGCTCAGTGATGGTTAACCTTTTAGGGGTTGGTGCACAAACTGCAACCCAAAACCCACTTATCACAAAGTGCCAACACTATGGTTAAACCTGAATACTGAGGTTTAATTTAGAAAAAGCAACTATTACCTGATGCTTGGCTGTTGAGGTGACTTGGCTCGCATGCCCACAGAGGGACATGTGTGCCTGCAGTGGTACATGTGCCATAGGTTCACACCACTGGGTGGGTTGGTCCTCTGCCTCTGCCATCAAGAGTGCCAGGCCTCGTGTCCTGGGGAAGCATGCAGGAGGGCCTGGCCCAGAGGGATCACGACCTGACTGCAGGTGCCCGCTCAGCACTAGAGAGCTCAGCAGGACCTGAGATCCACTTGCTCAGCTCCCAAGGTTAGGAAGCCCTCTGTGGGCTGTGTTGCAAAGGCTGGCCCTGGCTGTGCCTGGAAGGGCATCAGGACTCAGCAGAGGTCAGAGGCCAAGGGCAGGAGGAAGCTCAGGAGGAAGCCAGTGCAGGCCCCAGGCCCCAATGGAACCAGAACTATGCTACGTCCTTCCAAAGGTACAGTGCCTAGCACCGAACCACCATGACCCAGCCTAGAGTCAGGGCAGGACCCTGAGCAACTGGGTGTGAAGCACACAGTTATTCACAGTAAAAGATAAAGATGGGGAGTAATCCTGCAGCTCCCGACAGGTGTGGCTGCCAGCAGAGTTCGGGCCAGGCCATATTGGCTGCCAAGTCCATTATAAAAACAAACTCTCTCTTGCAGACAAGAGACTGTGGTCTGTCAGAGACAAATAGCAAATATTGAACTTTACTGTGAGCTGGGTCTGCCCTGTGTGCTCCTGCATAGTCTTTTAACAAATCTTGTAACCACTGTGGGAAGCAAAGACTGCTTTTCTCCCCCTTAGACGTGGAGGAAGCTAAGGCTTAGATAGGGACTTGCCCAGCGCTACAGAGCCAGCAAGTGGTGGAGTGAGTGTTAGGACTCGGCTCCTTCTGGTATCATCCTGTGCCTTAGAGAGGGCTGGCAGCAAGGGGAAGGGGCCTGGGGGCAGTACCTGAAGGCTGGGATCGGGGCCTTGGCCTGAGGAAGGGCCCTGGCACTCAGTGCCCCAGGCTGCAAAGCTTGGGGTAAGAGGGACGGGGAGAAGGCCTGGGATTTAGCTTAGTGGCACGGTACCTGCCTGGCAACCTTGAAGTCCCAAGTTTGATTCCCACCCCCTCCCCCAATAATGAGGGACAGTGAACAGCCAAGTCCTGCTTGAGCCAAGGCTGGAAGGCCAGAGGGCTGTGGGCTCTGTCAACCATGGTCCTTAGCTAAGACACTAAGCTTTGCCTCGTGTTTTCCTTGGTCAGGACTCCAGGCTGCACAACAAAACCCTGAAGCGGACCCGCAAATTTGTGGTGGATGGCGTAGAAGTGAGCATCACCACCTCCAAGATCATCGGTGATGATGAGAAGAAGGACGAGGAAATGAGATTTCTCAGGCAAGCCTGGGAAGGACACCGTGGCGGTGACAGGGTGGGGGTGCAGTGAAAGGGCGTGGGCATTGGTCCTTTGGGTCAGAGAGCTGTCGTCTCTAGTGTGAAGTGAGGAAATAATGGAGACAGAGGGAACTGGTTTTGCTTAAGATCCTGCGTCCTCCTACCCGTCCACTTAACCATCCATCCGTCTTCCCATCCATTCATTTATCTACCTCCCCAGTTATATGCAGGCAGCCCAATAACCTGTTAACCCAACCACTGATCTATTCTACATCTGTGTTCATCCATCTCTCTATCGTATATCTACCTATCCAAGTGTCCACACATTCATCCACCCAGTCATCCATCCATGTATTCATCTGTTTACCCATCCTTGCATCCCTGCATCCCTGGATGGCCACTACGGTTACATCCATCCACCCATCTGTCCATGCAATCACTGATGGATCTATACATGGCTTCCATCCACCCATGCATGCGTGTATCCTTCCTATTTTTCATCTATTATCTGTTCATTCATCTAACTCTACCAATTTATTGTCTGTCTGTCCATCAGTTCATCTGACCATCAGTAGTCTACTTACTCCTCCACCCATCTACCCACCGTCTACTCACCCACCAGGTAGGGATAGAGTTGTAACCCATATAACTGAGGCTATTCCTCTTGTAGAACTTATACCTAATGGCTAACATATAACACCCAAGATAAGTCTTCACTTATCTTAGTGACACAGTCCATGAAGTAATGGGTGATATGGTAGAAAGTGCCTGGGTATGGAGAGGCTCCTCCTAGAGAGCCCCCTGAGCTGAGCTCAAGGGGTACAAGAAGCCAGCTGTGTGCAGAGCTGGGGGAGCACAGAGGGAACTCTAATGGTCAGGGCCTGAGAGGTGACTCCTCAGTTTGTTTCAGGATCTGAGAGGACAGGACTAGAGCGTGGACTGTCAGATCAGGAGGAGAGCTGTGGTCTTTCTTTAGGTTGGCAGGACCCAGCTCACATAGGCCTGTGAGCCAGGGTGGAAGGTACATTATTCCAGCTGTCATAGGAGAGAAATAGCTGGGGAGTGACCGGCTCTCGCATCTTTTGGTAGATTGCTCGGGCTGCTGTGGAAGTGGCAACACTGGTGCAGGGAGATGAGACCAGTCAGGCTCTGGGCTCAGGCTCGGACCGCACTGGGAGGTTGGCTCAGATGCAGCAGATACTTTGGAGGCAAACCCGGTGTGACTGATGAGGGTTGGACTGACGAATGAGGTGGGAGGCAGAGCTGTTTACCAGAAATTTCCTTTGAAGTTCTCAGTTGCTAGTGCCCTTAGCACCCCACCACAGGGAGATGTTGTTTTCACAAACAAAGAAGCCTACTCGGCAAGTGAGTTGCGTGCCTTGGGCCTCCCAGGTGGAAAGGGGCAGAGCTGAGAGGTGGCCTAGGTCTGCTGTCTGAGAATCCCTGCAGGTTTCCATTGGACATGCAGCTGCCAGGGGAGCTGCCGCTGAAGATGGGGCGGTGAGCAGTTAGAGAAGCGTTAGAGGCCAGACTCTTAGAGGCTGAATTCATTACTGGTTTGGAAAAAAATGCCTAGGTCATCAAACACATTCGTATGTTTTAAAAGCACAAACTTTCTAGAGTGCAACAGATTCATTTGGCATCTTTTGGGGGATGCTTTTCCAATCTTAGAGCCAGGAGGATGAGACTTTTAGTGGCATTTCTGTGTACATGCATGTGTACACACTATATACACACACGATAGTGTCCTTATCTGTGTGGGTTGGGGAAGGCTGGGAGCCCTTGATGATGACATCCCTGGACTCTTGAAGCTTCAGACCTCCCTGGCTAGGTTTCCATCACAGTTCAAGACCCTTGGACTGAAGTTCCCAGTCAGCCTCAGTCTATAGAGAAGCCACACGCTCTGACCTGGTGGTGGACGCTCATCCTTCTGAAAGAGCTTCTGTGGGCCACTCGGGTGCGGGCTGTGGAGGAGGTAGTGTGTTTGCCTGCTGTGGTCTGAGGGTCAAGCATCCTGGCCACAGGCTGCAGGAGTATGGGTGGCTCTTATCCCTCCATCCCCTGCAATGCATGCCTGGGGCAGACCTGGACCTCGGCATTTTTGCAGATTAGGAACCATGCACTGAATATTAAGGACCTCCTTTCAAAACCACCTCTGTGCCCTTATGAGTGCTCAACATTTGGGACACTGTGAGAACCAGCTGCCCACTTTCTGTCTGTCATCCATGTTTGAACCTGTTTCTTTGAATCGGGATTCCCTTTTCTTTTCTTTTCTTTTCTTTTCTCTTCTTTTTTTAAGACAGGGTCTTGCTATGCAGTTCAGGCTGGCCTTGAGCTCACTTTATAGCCCAGACTGGTCTCGAACTCACAGGGATTCTCCTGCCTCAGTCTCCCAAGTGCTGGGGTTATAGACATGTGCCACCACGCCCAGTTTCCCATTTCTTTAACGCTGGGAAATCACTCTGACCTTCTTGGTTTCCAGAAAAGCCACATGCTCAGAAAGAAGCTTCCTTACATGGCTGTGGAAAACCTCTCGGGCATTTCCCAAGTGCACAGGGGGCCATTGCCTCTTCTACTTCATTATCATAGGAGCACTTGGCACTTAGGGGCTGCTTCTCATATGCCAGGCAGGCCCTGTCCATGTCGCATCTCATTTAATGCACAGAAATCCTGAGAGTTGGGAGGTGTCTGCTTCATTTTACAGACTAGGGACCAGAGCCCTGCAAAGACTCACAGGGCTCTGGCTGGAAAGTCAACAGAGTTGAGATTCAAACAAGGGCCCCTGGCCCAGAGTTGTGCTCAGCCACCTTGCAATGTGGCCTCTCCTCACCCAGCTGTTGGCTGGTGGGTCTGTCCAAGCCAGAGGCAAGGTCAGCTCAGACCAAGCCACATATGAGATCACTATGTGCGGACTGTGGAGGCCAGCCTGTAACTGGGTACACACAGACCTCCTGCACCCCAATCCCAAGCGACCACCTTGGAGTGCATTGCTCACAGTCAGGATACCCAAGGTTTTCCTACAGCATTTTATTATTTTATTACATAAATGGTGCATGTCAGTGTTTTCTGGGCCATCACAGAGAAAGAAGTATGATGAACTGCCATCTGCGGGCTGCTCACCAGTCTTTTCTCTGGTGCTCCTGTGCACGCACACACACACGTTACAAAATCAAGGTACACCTTGTGGCTTATGTCAAATATTTATTGTATTTTTTAATGTCATAGTTCAATAACTTTTTTAGGAGGTGAGAAATCTCTTTCCTGCCATGTAGCCTTTCCCTATGTTTTTTTTGTTTGTTTGTTTCATTGGTTGGTTTTTGGGGTTTTTTTGCAGTACTGGAGATTGAACCTAAGGTCTCCACACTGAGCTACCTCACCACCCATTTTATTTTATTTTATTTTTTGGTACCGGGGATCAAACTCAGAACCTCGTGCTTTTGAGGCAGGCACTTTGACGCTGAGCTAAATCCTGAACCCTCACCACCGTTTTTTAAAAGTACTTGCGCCTCTAAGTTGTCTAGGCTGTGTTCAGACTTCCAATCCCTTGTTTCAGGCTCCTGGGTGACTGATTACAGGCAGACACCACCGCATCGATCTTCACCATCTCACCCTCTTCACTTAGAGATCTTTCCATGTCTCTTGTAATGAGCTTTTCATTTTTCATAAACGTTACCTCGTGTAATTATGTATTTCCTAAAACTTGATGTTTTCATGGTTGTGTGTAATTGCATTGTGTAGGTACTTTATTTAGCCCTACATTTATGACTTAGTGGCACAGTCAGTCCCTTCCCCATCCCTGGGTTTCACATCTGTGGATTCTTCCAATCACAGATTGAAAATAGTGGGAGGAAGGCGCCTTGCACTGAACATGTACAAGCTTTTTTCTTATCATTATTGCCTAAAAAGTACAATGGTTTATGTAGTTTTTGGATTGTTACTAGGTATTATAATCATGTAGAGATGAAGCCAGATTCCAGGAGGATTGCGAATTGTGAGCAGGGGTGTATGTGGTACTACACCGTCTTATCTAAGAGACTTGAGCAGCTGTGCCTTTAGTGTCTAGGGAGAGTCCTGGAACTAATCCCCAAAGGATATGGATGGACTGGTGTATCTAAATAACATTGTTACACACATTCTCAGTCAGTTTGGAAGTAGAATTGCTATGTCAGAAAGCATAAACTTATTGCCAAATTGTCCTCGAGAAATATTGTACCGTTTTATACCTATCGGCAATGTATGGAAGTATCAGTTTGTCCTCTGCTCTTGCATACTGAGCTCATGTGTCATTTCTTTTTAATTTGCGTTTCCTACTCATATAGATAATTTAACTTTTTGTTTTTCTTTCATGTCTGTTAACATTCTGTGCTGCTTTTGGGGGGTATTCTTCCTTTCCTGACTCCTGAGTACTCTTCCTGTATCGAGGTTATTCGTGTTTTGTCAGTGAATGTCTAATGAAGCCTGAGTTCCAGTCACGCCTCTGCCTAAGATTCGTGGAGTTCTGTTTCAGGGTTCAGCCCTCAATGTCCCAAGCTGTGGGTCTGGGACCTCAGAGGGCCAGTCTCCCCCATGGACTCTATGCATCCTTTAATCCCTCAGGCGCCAGGAACTCCGAGAGCTTCGGCTGCTCCAGAAAGAAGAGCATCGGAATCAGACCCAGCTGAGCCACAAGCACGAGCTGCAGCTGGAACAGATGCACAAACGTTTTGAGCAAGAGATCAACGTGAGTGTGGGGGACAGTGGGACCCTGGTGGGCTTCTCCCTGTGTTTCATTTTACTGTGGAGGGGGAGTGATCGAGGCAGTGGAGAGCACCCACAACCACTGCCCAGTTCGTGGGGTCTCCTCATCTCATTAGACAGGGACTTGTAACCACAGCAGAGGTCACAGTGATCCCCCGAGTCACAGAGGAGCATTTCGAGGAGAAAATCGTGCCACACACCAACCGTCTAGGTCAAATAGTCCCTTTTGTGGCTGAAGAAATGAAAAGAGACATGACTTGTCCCACGTCTGAGCACAAGCTATGGTCTCTCTCCTTCTTCCCAGATGGAAAGTGGCTTTGCTAAGTGTTTCTGAATTTCTGCTTCTTGCAGACCAAGAAGAAATTCTTTGACACAGAGCTGGAGAACCTGGAGCGTCAGCAGAAGCAGCAGGTAGAGAAGATGGAGCAAGACCATGCTGTGCGGCGCCGCGAGGAGGCCAAGCGGATCCGCCTGGAGCAAGAGCGGGACTATGCCAAGTTCCAGGAGCAGCTCAAACTGATGAAGAAGGAGGTGACTGTGCGCTGGCTGGGCGGGGACTTCTAGGAGTGTTAGGCCCGCTCTGTTGCAAGGGATGGAAGGAAACCCCAGCCCAGCATCACCTCACAATGTGGGGCGTTGTGGGAACGAAGAGGTGGGCAGTCTGGGTGTGCATGCTCCACCGCACGTCATGCAGAGCCCTTCTTAGTTCTGGGGCCTCTGTGTCCCTCCGTGCTGGCTCTGTGCAAAAAAAATGGCAAGGAAGAAGTAAGCAGTAGTGATGCCCAAGTTGGAAATGTTGTTACTAGAAGGGGAAAGGCATGTTGCACGCTGGCCTCTCCTCCTCCCTGTGGTAGGAGGTGGTTGGCCCAGAGGCCCTCTCAGCCTGCCCCATATCGGGGTGTCTGAGTGGCAGGGAACAGTCCACACCGCCACGCCTCCCTCCACGGACTGGGAGGTTGGGACATCCCCCTTAGCCTCTCTGGAGGAAGGATGAAGAAAGGAAGGTGAACGCCCCTTGATAGGTACCCTAGTATCCACCTATGAGCAGTGGACGAGCAGCCTTTGAGGCTGGGCCACTGTGCTGGAGCCCTGGACACGTTATCAGCATGACAGTTGGTGCTGCCTGGGGGCCTCAGGCGCTTGGATTCCACTGGGGACCAAGGCCGCTGACCAGTGACCGAATGCGCAGGGCTAGGGCTGGCTTGGGAATTGGCTTAGGCATAACACCGAAGGGACCACAAAACACTCAGCAGTTAGGGCTGGGGTGCAGCTTAGGGGAGAGTAAGGCCTTAGGTTTGATACTCAGTGTGCATGTAGGCGCACACACACGCTTAGTAATCAAGATAACAAATGATGTGGTGGTGCGTACCTGTAATCTGAGCTACTTGGGAGGCTGAACACAAGTTCAAGGACACCTATGGAGACCCTAAGGAACGGGGATGTAGCTCAGCAGTAAAAGGCTTTTGTGGAATAGGCAAGGCCTAGATTAAACCACAAGTTTAAGAAAAAAAGACTCTCACGTAATGAATGCAAATAAATTCATGAACAGAATATTAGCTAATAGGATAAAGATGGGATTTGACAGGACTGGGACTGGGATGAGCTGGGAGGCTAGGTTCTGTCTTGATATAAAATTTAAGCATTTGGTCCATGAAATTTTTTGCATGAATTGTGATGTTTTAATGTTATTTATCTGGATGGCTGATTTTGATGTCCCCTATTGTTTTGTGCCCTGGCTTCACCCTGATCCCAGCCTGCAGAGAGGTGGGCAGGTGGGCTGGAGCACATGGGGTGGAAGAGAGGAGCTGGTCCTAAGCACGGACCCAGCCACTGCACAGAGGAGTGCAGGGTTAGGAGTCAGGCCTGGGTTCCAGTGTTGGCCCCAGGGCCGTCTAGCACTCTGACCTAAGACAAGTCATTGCCCCAATGCCCTGTTGCTCTTTGTCAAAGGAGTTGCTCAATAACATATGTACAGGGTGTTGTGCTGGGTGCCAGGATGCTGCAGTGAACAAAATCGACAGGAATCTGCAGGAGAGTCAGAAAATGAGTTACACCAAAAAATAAACTGGTTGCCAACATGTTGTGAAAGCAAATTGACTTGTTAACTAGAACAAATATGGAAAGGTGTGCTCTAGAGTGGTGTGGCAAAACCTCTCAAAATAAAATTTTGAAAAGAGGGCATGCTAAGGATGGAGTTCAGTGGTGAAACATTTAAGCTGAGATGAAAACATTTCAGCAAGGGGAAGTAGTATGTGCAAAAGCCCTGTGGTATAGGGGAGGACTTGGAGCAAAGTCTTCAAAGGAAATGAAGAGTGATCAGTGTTACAGGAACTTAAGAAATGAAAAGGCAGTGGGCAGGAGATGAAGCTGGACAGTTATACAGAGGCCACATTGTGTAGGGTAGAAGGCCCTGGGCAGAAAGGAATCTGTATTCAGTTTTTAACAACCCAACCCCCACTCGCGCCTCAGGAAATACATGAGAAAAGGCTCAACTTCTTAGCAGTTTTGACTTTTCTGGGACGTGGCCCATGCCACTTAGTAAGATTGTGTCCCTTTGTTATTCTTCTGTGCGGCCCTTGCTTGCTTTGCCTCTGTGAATCATTTATTTAACTACGCTACTTGGTGGACTTTGGTTTTGGTTGTTTCTTTTATCTTTTTGAGATAGAATCTCACTATGCAGTTCAGGCTGGTCTTGAACTCACTTTGTAGCCCAGGCTGGTCTTGAACTCGAAGTGATCACCTGCCTCGGCCTCCCCAGTGCTGGGATTACAGGTATGTGCCACCATGCCAGGCTCATGCTTGTTTTAATTAATAGTGAAGCCAGGCAGAGTGTAAGCCTGAGTCTTTTCTTGCTCCCAGAGCTAATTGATGGCCTTTGTTACTTAATCTGTTAAACACATAGTTATTCCTCAGTCTTCTCTGGGAGAATTGGTTCTAGGACCTTCCATGGATACCAAAGTTCAAGGAGGCTCAGTTCCTTGTATAAAGTGGAGTGGTGTTTACATATAACCCTTGCACATCCTCCTGTATACTTTAAATCATCTCTAGATTACTTCTAATCCTCAGCACGATGTAAGTGCTATGTAAGTAGTTATACTATACTGTTTAGGGAATCACGACAAGAAAAATCTCTGTACACGCTCGGGGGCGTTTCCTGAGTATTTTCTACCCGAGGTTCACATAATAATGAAATCACCTTCTGGTGTGTTTCCCAGAGCGTGTACCTGCGTGATGCACAGCTGGCTTATTAAATGGTTTGCAGCTCCATAATGCTACAGAATTCTACCCCTGTGGAAGTTTTAGTTAAAGGCTAGCTTGTGTTTCATGTTGACAAAATAGGAAACTAACAAGTTCAACATGTTGCTGGCGGGGATTGCAGGTTATCTGACATCTAGTAGAACGAGCCCCCCGCCCCTGCCTCCCTTTCCAGATGTTGGCCGGAGAGCAGTGCTGGAACAAGTTGTCCCAGCCTTTGTGCCCCTCTGTCAAGTGGCCCCACATGATGCTGCTTTTGCTTCCTCCCTGCGCTGCCAGAGTAACATTTTTTAGTGTTTTCAGTGCCTTTAGCAGAAAACTCCCAACCCTCTTCTCGGCTGCTGTTTCTAATCCTGTGTCCTGGAGAACAGAGTGACCACGCTGGTAAACACACAGTGCTAAGCCTCGAGGCCTTTAGTGGCCTGTTGCCCCGGATAATGCTGTCAGAAGGCATTTTGGCAGTCAGCACAGAGAGCTGCTAAGTTAGGGTTAGAAGCCAGAACCGAGGCAGCCCTTTGATGCAGAAGCAGCCATTGCACAAATAAGATTTTTAAGACATTTTATTAGGACTTTTATCTAAGACATTGGTTCTCAGCCCAGGACTAACTTGTTCCACCCTCCTCCCTGGGAACATTTGGCAACACCTGGAAATATTTTTGGAAGAGAGAGGTCCACTGGCATCTCATGGATAGAGGACAGGACCCCAGAGAATCTCTAGCCAGGAGATTCTGATCACAGTCAGGAGTGCTAAGGATGAGTGACCCTGATCCAGGTCCAATCAAACCAGACAACACAGGAAAGGATTCAGATCATAAATATAAGACACCCCCAAAAATTCAAAAATTGGAAGAGAAGAAAGAAGATGAAGAAATCTGGTGGGACTTGGGGTCAGATGGTTAAGTACATTCCTAACTTTATGAGAGACTGCCGATCTTAAACCGAAGCTCTGAGTCATTGTACATAGTCACATGTGAGAGTTCCAGTTGCTCTAGAGTCTCAGAATGCTCAGCACTGTTGTTTATTTCTGTGGTGCTGGGGATGGAACCCAGGGCCTCGTACATGCTGGGCAAATGCTGTATCACCGAGTGACAACTCCGGCACCAGTCTTTACTGTAGCCATTCTGATCCGTGAAGTGATGTCTCATTGTGGTTTTTGTTTGCATTTCATGAATGACTAATTGCATGGAATATCTTCACTTGCCTACTAGCTACCCTTATGTCATTTTTCAAAGTATCTATTCAGATATTTTGCCTATTTAACTGGGAGGTTTGCTTTCTCATTACTGAATTCTGATAGTGGTTTCTGTTGGGTTTTTGTGGTGGTGGTGGTGGTATTACAGGTACTTTGTCAGATAGTATTTTGCCAATATCTGTTCTCAGTCTGTAGCTTGTCTTATAATTCTAATAGTATCTCACATATAGCAGAGGTACTTAACTTTAGTAAATTCCAGTTGAGCATTTATTTCTTTGGTGGTATGTCTTAAGAAATCATTACCTAACCCAAGGTGAAGTCTTTTAGAGGTTTTTACAATTTTAGGTTTTACATGTAGATACATGATTCATTTTGAGTTAATTTTCTAGGTGTGAGAGATAAGGGGAGGCTCACTGTTGTTGTCTGTGGATACTGAGTCATTTACTGCAGAGGATAGTCCTTCTTTACTGTGTTGCCTTTGTGTCTTTATGGAAAATCGCTTTACCATATGGGTGGGGTCAGTGTTTGAACTCTGTGCTGTTTGACGGATCAGTTTTTTGTCCCTCACTGATGCTGCAATGTCTTGATAACTGTAGGTTTAAGGTAAGCTTTGAAATCACGTAGTGAGACGCCTTTAACTTTGCTCTACTTCAAAATTGTTTTGGTGACTCTGGCTCCTTTGTCATTTTATATAAATCATAGCAGAGGTTTGTTAATGTCTATGAAAATGTCTGCTGGATTCTGATAGAAATGGAGTCAGATCTATGAGCCACTGGAGCAGAGTTGTCTTCTTATCCATGAACATACTGTATGTTTTCTTTTTAGTGTTTTTATGAGATCTTCTTTTAGGGTTTTTTAGATTCACTTTACTGTCATAGAGTTTATAGAATTACATTTGTTATTTTTTGCACAATAATAGAATGATACTGTTATTTTACAAAGTACTTTTTTAAAAAAATACAAATTTAGTTTCTTACTAGAGTATAGAAATAAACTAATGTTCATATATTGACTTTGTATTCTGAAACCTGAGCTAAATTCATGTAGCATCCTGTGTGTGTGTAGAGGTTCCTGGGGATTTTTTTTTGGACACAGTGTGTTACTAAGCAGTTCAGGATAACCTTAAACTCACTATGTAGCTGAGGCTGGCCTTGAACTCACTGTGATCCTCCTGTCTCAGCCTTCCAAGTGCTGGATAGCAGGAGTTGCCACCATGCCTGGATGATTTGCTAATATTTGGGAAAGGATTTTTTTCCTAATACCGGGAATTGAAGACTTCATGTATGCTGAGCAAATGCCCTGTTACTGAGCTACAGCTGCAGCCCTGGAAGAGTTTGAATCTATATTCAAGAAGGAGATTCGTCTATGGCTTTCTTGTAATTTCTGTCTAGTTTTAGTTATCTGTTTCTTCTTGCGGAAGCTTTGATCATTTCTGTTTTTCAAAGACTTTTGTTTATTTCTATATGAGTTTATTTGCATTAAATGTTCACAGTATTTAGTGTCATTTTTAATCCCAATAGGCTCTGTAGTGATGTCCTCTGTTTCATGCATCATTTTGGTAGCCTATGGTGTTGTCTCTTCCTCTGCATTCTTCCTTTTGTGTTGAGCTGAGTAAAGATTTAATTTTATTGACCCTTTCTAAGAAGCAGCTTTTGGTTTCATTGATTTTCTCTACTGATTTTCTCTTTTTAGTGTTACTGACTTCTGTTTTTATATTTGACTTGGGTTTAAATTGCTTTTGTTTCTTTTGATACTAGGACTTGTACCTAGGGCCTCAAGGATGCTAGGCAAGAACTACATGGTTGGTCCACATTCAGCTCATCCTACAAATTTTGATGTGTTGAACTTGTATTTTTATTCAGTTCATACTATTTCTTATATACTTTGGAACTTTCTTTTTGATCCATGGTTTATTTAGAAATTCATTGTTTAAAAATTTTTTGAGATTTTCATATCTTACTGTTTTTTACTTCTAATTTAATTTTATTATGGTCAAGTAATATTTTTTAATATTTCTATCTTTTAAAATTTATTAAGGTTTATTTTATGGCTCATGCCGTGATCTATGTTAATAACATCTTATGTGTACTTGAAAGGGATACCTATTCTGCCCGTTGGGTAGAGTGCTCTAGAAATTCAGACAGGTTTTTGACTGAGAGTATTGTTCAGGTCTTCAGCAGACTTGCTAGCTTTTCATCCACTCATTCTGTTTGCTTACTAAGGAAGGAGTGCTATTATCTTCTGCTATAATTATGGATTTATTAGAGCTGGGCATGGTGGTACATGCCTGTAATTCTAGTACTTCAGAGGCCAAGACAAGATTATTTTAAGTTTAAGGAAAGCCTGGACTACATAGTGAGTTCAAGGCTAGCCTGAACTACACAGCAAGACCCTGTGTCAAAGAAACAAAATAATCTATTTAAAAATTTTTTTATTAGTTTCTGTTTCATGTTTTTGAAGTTATTTCAGTAAAACTATAACATCTTTGCACAGATGTGGTGGTGTATGCCTGTAATCCCAGCACTTAGGAGGCTGAGGCAGGAGCATTGTTGCAAGTTTCAAGACCAGCCTGAGCTACAAAGTGAGCTCAAGTCCAGCTTGAACTGTATAGTGAGACCTCGCCTCAAAAAACAAAACAAAACAAAGAATATATTTTCTCATCCTTTTAATTTAACTTGCCTACATACATAGGTTTTTTGTTGACAGCTTATTATTAAGACTTCAACTTTTTTTTTTTTTTTTTTTTTTTTTTTTGTCTTTTTCGTTTTTATTGGTACCAGGGATGGAACTCACGACTGCCTGCTTGCAAGGCAGGCGCTTATGCCGCTGAACTAAATCCCCAGCCCCTTAAGACTTCAACTTCTTAATCCCATCTGTAAATCTTTGTCTTTTAATCGAGTGGTTATGATTTACATGTAATCAAACTACTGTTTTCTGTTTGTCTTCTCTGGATTTTATTCCTCTTTTCACATTGCTTCTTTGGAATATTTGAATATTTTTAGGTTAAAGTATATATAAGCATGTTTGCTGCAGTGGTTGTTCCAGGGGATTATAATATATATATCTATTACATATTACTACATCTATTATATCATATCTATTATATAGCTATAATAAATATAGCTATATTATATTTATATTTAATAATTTAATATTTATATATAATAAATATAGCTATATAATGGATATGATATAATATTATAGCTATATAGTAGATATAACTATCTATTTAGAGTTTATATTATAAGGCTTCAAATTAAGAAGCTTTAGAGCCATATAAAATTCTTTTTGATTTAGCAAGCAACCAGCCTTATTAGGGTCAGATGAGGTAAAACCTTCTAGAGTGGTATTTCTTCTTCTTCTTCTCTTTTTTTGTACCAGGGGTTGAACTCATGACCTCGTGCTTACCATGCAAGCACCTGAGCCACTGAGCTAAATCCCCAGCCCCTATGAGTGGTATTTCTACCTTAGTTTACCAAAGCCTATACTGGGCGTGGTGGCACATGCCTGTAACTGAGCAATGAGGGAGGCTGTGGCAGGAGGATTACAAATTTGAGTCCTGCCTATGCAATTTATCAAGACCTTGTCTCAAAATAAAAAACAAGGCTGGGTGTGGTGGCTCATGCCTATAATCCCAGAACTCAGGACTGTTGCAAGTTCGAGATCAGCCTAAGCTACAAAGTGAGCTCAAGGCCAGCCTGAACTGCATAGGGAGACCCTGTCTCAAAAAGACAAACAAACAAACAAAATAAAAAACAAAAAGACCTGGGAAAATAGCTCAGGGAATAGAGCACTCCTGGGTTTGATCTCTATTACTAGAGATAAAAACAATCAAAAGTCTTTGCTGTGTTGCCTTGGCTCTGTCTCATATGTGGCTCAGGGCTGACTCTGAGAGCTGTGTGGCATCATACACAGAATAAAGATTTCCCTTCACTTGCATCTCTTCGAGATGCATCCCATGTCCTCTGGGGTGCTTAGTCCCCGGTTGCTGGTTCTCTGGCCAGAAGCGTAAGGTTTCTTACAGTTTTACTTGCCTTTTTCTGTTGTACTGCTGTGTGGGTCTGGAGCTATTGCAGAGGCAGGAAAGAAAGAAAAAGGCATTGCTGGACTGCATCAATACTATGTCAGCAGAGGGATCCAGAGGATAAGGTGGCTCTTAACTTGGGCTACATCTTCCAGTTTAGCTGTTCCGGCAAATCTCCTGAAACTTTCACTATTTCTACAAGGGTCACGTGCACTGTGGGCCTGTGGACTGCGGTGCTTTGCAAGCCCAGATCTTGGGCCCACCCTAGAGCAGATGGGGCCTGTCCCCACCTGTACCTGACAGCATATTGTTGCGCTTTGCTTTTTTAAAACTCCAATCTGCAAATCTCTGTCTTTTAAAAGTAATGTTTATGCTGTTTACATTTAATGAAATTATTATTTTTCCTCTGTCCTCTCTGGCTTTTGTTTTTCTGTTTCCCCTTTTTCTTCTTTTGGAGTATTTGAATAGTTTTAGTATCCCACCCGAATTCATTGTTTGGTTTAGGTATATATTTGTGTGTGTGTGTCTGAGAGAGAAAGGGTGAGAAAGAGAAAGCTGAATTATGCAGTTAGGTATTCTCAGCTGGGATGATGGTGCTCTCATTGAAGGAGAATAATGTTAGGTGTTTCCATATTGATATTGGTATTAGATATCTTGGATGCCAACCACATATCTGTGAGATTAATGTTTTATAAGGCAAGAATGATTAGAAAGAATTGTCTAAAAGGCTTCTGGTGGGACAGTAATTTTTGTAAAAGACAGAAAAACTGCCCTAAGGGAAACTGAGGCGCTGGTACCAGAATGGGTATGGAAACCAGGAAGCCAGAAATAATCCCATGTAGCACAGAGGAGTCTAAAAGGGGAATCACAGCAGATGGGAGTAGGTGAGCCGGGGCAGGGCTTGGTGAGCAGTGAGAAGGCCTTGCCTTCCTCTCCTTAGCCCTGGAGTCCTGGCGGTGGTGCAGATTTGGCCAGCGTGAGGAAGGTCCTGACTTTGCTGCCGTCTGTTGTCTCTGGGCCAGGTGAAGAGCGAGGTTGAGAAGCTTCCCCGGCAGCAGCGGAAGGAGAGCATGAAGCAGAAGATGGAGGAGCACACACAGAAGAAGCAGATTCTTGTGAGTCCTGGCCCTGGCTCATGTCCTTGGCCCTCCTGGCTTGCTTCAGGACCATCTTGTTTGTGTGTCCCATCTTGTCCACCAGCCCAGTACAGCCACCTGCTACTTGATGTCCTTTGGAGGCTAGAAATCCTCCTCCCAGACCTGGGCCTGGCCTTGTGTTTTGAGCACCCTCTTCCCTGTTGGTAGGCTAGAAAGCTGGTCTTCCTGACGCCTTTCCCTCCAGTTTGTCACTTCCTGAAATGTGTGTGAGGGTGGGGAGACAGACCCATCTCCTATCCAGCATCACCTCGACACCCCAGCCTTTGCTGCAGTGGCCTCTCTGCTTCCTCCGTGGCTCCCACATAGCTCCTGCTCTCCGGCCACTGAGTGCAAACAACACAAACTCCAGATCCCATCGCGCTACCTTCGCCTCCCTGCTCTGTGCCTTACACCCCCAGTAGCAGCCCTCTGTCCTAGGATTAGCCACCCTGCACCATGCTCACTGGGCCTTGCCTCCTCCAGCCTCTCCACCTCCCCGCTGACCTCTGCTGCAGCCTCCAGTTCATCCTTTGCCTCAGTGGTTTCATTTCTCCTACTCTGGTGTCTGCACATTCTGCTTCTCTGGCCCCAAACACAGGGGATATTAGTCCACATTTACAGATGCTTCATGTCAGGGCTGTTTAAGCATTTGTGGCTCAGAGAGGTGATGCTGGAGAGTTGATAGGGTCCAGCCTCGAGCCTGCTATGACTCCAGGCTTCCTATTTGTTCCAGGATGCGCCCCCCCCCGTCGCTGCCCCCGCCAAGCTGTCCCTTAACTCAAGTTGGAAAGCACAAAGGGGAGGGAGCAAGAGGAAATGGGGTGAGGTTGGTCAGTGGGTGCAGTGAGATAGGAGGAATAAACTGTTTTATTGCATAGGAGGGGCAGTGGTTATAGTCGATACTCATGAATTATATATTTCACTGTAGTTAGAAGAGAATTTTTATTAGTCCGTGTTTGCATTTGTGTTACAGAGTAGGTACATGTACTTAACATATCTTAATTCTTTTTATTTCCTTCCCCTCCCATTTCGTTTTGTGCAGCTGATGCACGTACATACATACTCAATTCTTTTTTTTTTTTTTTTTTTTTTTTGGTCTTTTTTCCTTTTTATTGGTACCAGGGATCGAACTCACGACTGCCTGCTTGCAAGGCAGGCGCTTATGCCGCTGTGCTAAATCCCCAGCCCCTCATACCTCAGTTCTTTCCGTGGCCCCCATCTCTTGCTCCCCTTCCCATTTGCAAAATATCTAACTTCCTGTTCCCTTTGATCAGTCTTTATTTTCTTCATTTGGACTTACTATATGAAACCATGCCCATATTTAATCTTGTATATCTGATTTATTTTACATAAGTTTTTAAATTCTATCCATTTTCCTACAAATGTCTGAACCGTGTCCCTCTTTATAGACTAGGAGTGTTCCATTATGTATAAATACCACATTTCCTTTACCCATTCATCTGTTAATGGAAATATCGGGTGATTCTAAGAATTAGCTAGTAGGAATTCTGCTGCCTGGTGTGGTGGCACATGCCTGTAATTTCTCATTTGGGAGGCTGAGGCAAGAGAATCACTGTGAGTTTGAGGACAGCCTGAAGTGGACCTTGTCTCAGAAAAAAAAATAGTTGTGGTGTCATACAGTTGGTATGCATGTAGCTGGGTGTGGCAGCACAAGCCTGTAAGTGCAGCACTTGGGAGGCGGAGGCAGAAGGATTGCTGAAGTTCACGGCCAGTCTGAACTATATATAACAAGATCTTGTCTCAAACAAAAAAAAAAAAAAAAAAAAAAAAAAGAACCCCAACTGGTATGCATGTGTCACTGTAATATGGTATCTGTCACTCTTTTGGAAAGCTGAGTCAAATGGAATTTCTATTTTTAGTTGAGGAATCTCCAGACTGATTTCCATAATGGTTGTACTAGTTCACATTCCCATCACCAATGAAAGAAGGTTGCTTTTTCGTTACAGCCTTGGCAGCATTTGTTACTGACTTTTAGAGAATTTTGAATGTGGTATTCCCAAGAAATGATACACTTTTGAAATGATGGATATGCCAATTACCTTAGCCTGGTCATTACACAAGGCATATTGAAAGGTCACGCTGTACTTGTTAAATTCACACAATATCAAATTTTTTTTTTTTTTACAATACCAAATTTTTTTTTTTTTTACAATACCTTTTTTTTTTTTTTGTACCAGGGATTGAACTCATGACTTTGCATTTGCCAGGCAGGCTCTTAGGCTGCTGAGCTAAATCCCCAGCCCCAATACCAATTTTTTTAAAGTTATCTTTTTAAACATAGGACTAGTTAAAGGTTAGATCAACAGTCTCTCATCTGTTCAGAGAGAGAGAGAGAGGGAGACAGACTACATGGCCCTGTGGGAAACCAATCCAGCAGTTATATCAAGATCCTCAAACCTTTGCACACCCTTTAGCTTGGATTTTCTAGAAATCCTGAGGCAGGCAGGATTATTTCTTAGAGAAGTAAGAGTCTATCCCTACTATGAAATATTTTTAGTCACTGAAAAACATTTAACAGATTACATATAACATGGAAAGATCTTTTAATTTTTAAATTATTTTTTGTGATGCTGGGACTTGAACTTAAATTTTCTTCTCTGGTCATGGTGACCTTTGTCCTGTAACAGTCTCACAGCTAACTCTGGTCCTCTTCCCTCCTCACAGGACCGGGACTTTGTAGCTAAGCAGAAAGAGGATCTGGAGCTGGCCATGAAGAGGCTCACGGCAGAAAACAGGCGGGAGATCTGTGACAAGGAGCGCGAGTGTCTCAGTAAGAAGCAGGAGCTCCTTCGAGGTGAGGCCCAAGTGGATGGCGCCATCTTGGCCTAGGACCACTGTGAATGGGAAGTGGGGAGGGGAGGGACCATCTCCTGGGGCTTTTCCATCCTGGAGACTAGACTTACCCTTCATGGTGAATCCAGAGACAACACTTTACTGAAGTCAGGAACAATGCAAGAATACCCTTACCACCCACACTCTTTGACATTATTCCACAAGTCAAGAGGAGAAAAGGAGAGCAATAGCATGGATGGAAATTGTAAACACGTGAGTGGGGACACTGGGTGGCAGAGACAGCATTGAGAGCCCCACCCGAAGGCTGCCACGTGTGGAGCGCCTGCTCTGCCAGGCCAGGTGCTAATCACGTTTTACACCTTGATCTCACAGAATCCTCACCCTACTCCTATGAGACAGGTCCTCTTATTACCCCAAGTTGTATGAAACTGGTCCTATCATTATCCCAGTTTTTATCCAGGAGGAAACCAAGTCTTGGAGAATTACTCTTTGGTTGAGTGACTTTAGTCTGGTCAGGAAGCTCTAATAAAATACCATAGACTAGGTGGTTTGTAATCAACGGAAATGTATTTTTTATACTTTTAGGAACTGAGACGTCTAAGGTCAGGGCCCTGGAGCCCAGGGTCTATTTCCTCCCCGATAGTGCATTTTTTACCCTTCACAGGGTCTCCATCTGAGCCCTTCCTGTTTGCCCCTACCTCCCAGTGATGTTTCTTCCCACCATGGTATAATGATGCCCATTTGGCAGAGGTGGTAGCAGAGATCTGAAGACGTTTTCTTGATGATCTGCCTCAAATCTCAGACTGTTTCTTGCTTTCCCCATGAGGCTGGGAGCTGGTATCTCTTAGGCTTAAAGTAAGTTCTAGGACTCAGAGCAGCGTGATCTAATGAGATAGCGCACAGGTTGTTATCAGCCACAGTGATGAGACCTGGTCTGGAGTCAGGTCTCCAGGCCTGGTCACACCTCACCAGGCGAGTGGCATGTCCTCCCTCTGCAGAGCGGGAGGCCACCCTGTGGGAGATGGAGGAGCACCAGCTGCAGGAGAGGCACCAGCTGGCGAAGCAGCAGCTCAAAGACCAGTACTTCCTGCAGCGGCACGAGCTGCTTCGCAAGCATGAGAAGGTGAGGCTCTGGCCCGTGTGAGGCCACTGTGATCATGTGTCTCTTGGGTACCAGTTCTAAGGCCCAGATGGTTCTCTGGGGACCTGGGGAACCAGTAAGGGAGCAGATGGGCAGGAGCAGGCTCCCTCGCTGACCCTGACAGCTGTACTGTGTACCTTTCCCACACCTTTTGTCCTCCCTCTCCGCTGTTTTTCTTTAGCTCTCTTCCCCAGGCATTGCTTCAGAGTACTTTTAGGCTCCCCTTCAATACCAGCTGTGCTGGGAAGCCTTCCCGGAGCTACCAGACCTGGCGAGGGCCCCTGCTCTGTATGCCACAGCACCTGTACATCTGTGCTAATTGGTCTCTGGTCATTTCCCATAGTAAGCTGTGACAGATGAGCTAAAGATGCACACACAGCAGCTGTAGGAGATCCCAGTTCTTTAATAAATGCAGTGACAGAAGTCAGCACAGGACTGGGGAAGCTCAGAACAGGGTGCTCAGCTTGATGGGGACGTCATGGGAGGCTCCCTGAAAGAAGAGGTGCCCATGTGGAGTTTGAAAATACAGGTGTTAGGGCGAAGAAAACAATTCAAATTCATCAAGGCTTTTGTGTTTATGCGTGGTACTGGAGCTGCAGCCCCAGTTCTTTTTCTTTTTGTTTTTTGAGACAGGGTCTTGCTAAGTTGCCCAGGTAGGACTTGAATTTGAAATCCTCCTGCTTCAACCTCCCCCCAGCTGCTGAGACATGAAGGCTTTTTTTTTTTGTCTTTTTCATTTTTATCGGTACCGGGGATCGAACTCACGACCGCCTGCTTGCAAGGCAGGTGCTTATGCTGCTGAGCTAAACCCCTAGCCCCTATGAAGGCTTTTTTGACAGAGGGTGAGGACAGAGCTCAGTGGTAGAGCACTCACCTATGAGTGCTCTGGTTTTGACTCTCAGCATTGAAAAAAAAGAAACTTTATAAAGCAAAAATTTACAGCGCTATCAATGATGATGAACCACCCCTGCTGGGATATGTTTTGCTTTCAGATGTTGCCTAAGAATGGTGTGCCACCATCTGTTTGGTGAGGCATTGAGGACACTTAAAATATTAACAAAGCAGATACTCTTTGACTTACCACAGCTTTCTGGTTCCATGAATTGAAATGCTGCAGGTTGAAGTGTTTCATAACAGTAGAGGTCAACTAGCTCAAGCCAGGCGGTGCTGGGCATCCTGGGCCCTAACCACAACCCGTGCCCAGAGCTCAGCTGACCTCAGCCCTGCTGGGTGTCCCCCCTAGGAGCGGGAGCAGATGCAGCGCTACAACCAGCGCATGATAGAGCAGCTGAAGGTGCGGCAGCAGCAGGAAAAGGCACGGCTGCCTAAGATTCAGAGGAGCGAGGGCAAGACGCGCATGGCCATGTACAAGAAGAGCCTGCACATCAATGGAGGGGGCAGTGCCTCCGAGCAGCGTGAGAAGATCAAGCAGGTGGGGGCTGGGCCTGTGCCCATGGGTACGTAGAGGTGGGCCAGACACAGGCTTGGCGGAGCCTTGTACAGTTTGGGAGAATATAAAATACAAGACGTAGCACGAGACCTTGGGAGGGGTTCTGCAAGCTGCTTCATTAGCCCCATGTGAATTCAGGCCTGGTCAGCACAGAAGGGTTGTGGCATTGTGATGTGGACATTATCGCACAGCATCCCCTTCACACACTGGTGCTTTCACACTGCAGGTTCCTCTGCTGGTCAACCCCTTCCTCTCATCACCAAGGCCCTGCTTCCAGGACACGTAGGTGGCCAGGCACCTATGACAGGCACCTCCTGTGCACCCTGTCCTAACACATGTCACATTACAGTGTCAGGTCCCCACCAATCTGGGGACACCTTGAGGACAGGCCCTGAGTGTCAGCTCAGAATGCGGACTTCAGTAAATGGTTGCACAGTACTTGCCTAGCATGCAAGAGGCTTTGAGTTCAGTCCCCAGCACAACAAAACAAAACAGTGGGGTATAGCCTGAGGCAGTGCTGGGCACTGGGGCTGTGCACAGTCTCTGTTGGCTTCCCTAGGGCAAGGTAAGATGAGCCCCCCAACCATCAGCCCGGGACCCACCCTCTGTCTTGTGCAGTTCTCACAGCAGGAGGAGAAGAGGCAGAAGTCAGAGCGGCTGCAACAGCAGCAAAAACATGAGAACCAGATGCGGGACATGGTGGCGCAATGCGAGAGCAACATGAGTGAGCTGCAGCAGCTTCAGGTATGGGCCTCCTTCACTGCCTCGGTCTCCCCAGGGATGTCAGGGCACAGGGCCAGAGAGTCTCTCTCATACAAGCCCAGAGTGAACTGAACCCAACCCTGCTGCACTGATCTCAGGCGGTGTCACATTGGGCAAATCACCATCCCAAGCCGTGCTTTTGCAGAGGTGCTTCTCACAAGTCCCTGACCTCTTCAGGCTTCTAGGTTCCTGGGTTTGCTGCAAACCAGGGCTCAGAGTTCCTCCCTGGTACCTGACCACGCTGAGCTTAAGTCTCCTTCTTCCCAAAGGCCTGAAGCTGGTACTTGGAGCCCCCTTGTGGTGGAGCGAGTCATTGTCAGGCCTGAGGCATGGGGCCAACTTCATCTCTGTGGGCCTGAGGAAATTGCTCAGGCTGTGGTCCCACCTGGCAATTTCTGGAGAAGCAGGGGGCATGCAGGAAATACTGCAGGTATCAGAGCTTACCAGGCAAAGACTCTGTTGTTTGCCACTGTGTGATTTGACTTTACCCTACTACAGTATAGGGTATTGACACTTTTCCACTATAGCCCAGGCCTTTTCCAAATTATTTTGAGACAAGGTCTTGCTAATCACTCAGTTTCCCAGGCTGGGCACCAGCTCATAAGCCTCCTGCCTCAGCCTCCCAGAGTGCTGAGATTTCTGATGTGCACCACCAAGCCCAGCTTACCACTATGTGAATTTAGTCAAGCCACTCACATTCTTGCATTCTTGCATCTTGGGTTACCATGATGTAAAGCACCATACACAGCAGGCTGCAGGCCTCCATGCTGCTATATCAACCCTAACCATGCCAGTTCCTAAACTCCCAGAAGCCTTTAAATTGAAACTCAGAATAATTCCCCAAAGGGTGCTACTTCTCCCTGGTTTATTCATAGATCGATTTTGCACAGAGATTTCCCACTTCTGCCTATGAAAGACTCCTGATAAAATGTGTGACACAGGTAACTTACCTCAGAGAGCACAGTAGGCTTTGGCAGATCTCCTCCATGTCCCTGCCCCTCGTCCCTTGCCAGGTCGGGATATACCTCAGTAGTAGAGTGCTTGCCCAGCACGTGTGAAGCCCTGGGTTCAAATCCCAGTACTGAAAAAACAATCAGATGATGAAAAAGCATCCAAGAGTAAGTTACAGAGTTACTGCAATTACCACACCACAGACAGCAGCTATTACTACTGTTAATGTTCTAGAACATCCCTCCAGGCACTTCTTGGGGCACCTGTAGAGCTGTGTGTAAATGGGGTTATCATCAAGGGAAAGCCTCACATACCCACATTCACACTGGTGGTGCCCCTGAGGCTCCAGTATGCGTGTTCTCGGTGCCTCTTCCCTCTGATTTTCACACCCGTTCTGCCTGGAATTTGTTCCAGAATGAGAAGTGTCACCTCCTGGTAGAACATGAAGCCCAGAAGCTGAAGGCCCTGGACGAGAGCCATAACCAGAACCTGAAGGAGTGGAGGGACAAGCTTCGGCCACGAAAGAAGGTAGCCACGTGGGCCTGGGGACGTGATGGTGGGCTCTGATCCAGCTGTGCCACGTGTTTTTCCCTAGGACACTTTAGGTTCCCCCTGATTTTGGTGGATCTTTGTTTGTGGCTCCCTAAAATAGTCCCCACCCACGTCACCAGTAGTAGCCGAACACTGCAGCTCTACCCACTGCAGTGGCAGCCTCTCTGCTGCTTGGCCGTTCTCACAGACTCGGGGGTGCCGCCTCATGGACCCAGAGGACCTGCAGTGCAGGGGAATCAGCCTCCTTTCCAGGCCAGCAAGGACTTTTCTCTTAGAGGAAATTATTCTGTGAGGTCAGAGCCCAGCACCAAAGAGATCACTTCCCAAATGAGTTTGCCATTGAATGTAACAAATTGCCACCCATAGCTAGGCTGTAGCTCAGCGGAGAGTGCCTTCCTAGCATGTGCAGTGCTCTCTTACCTCCTAGAAGTGAGATCCAATAGAGAGAGACATAGCTCAGAAGTCCAGGCGGGCTCCTACCATCCTCTGGTAGGCTCTCATGAGGCTGCCAGGTTGGACTCTTGTCCAGTGTCTCTGGAGAAGAACCACCTCCAAGCTCATTTAGGATTTCCCAGAATCCAGATCCATGCTGGCTATGCTATCAGCAGAGCCCCTCTCTGCCCTGCAGTGATCCACATTCCTTGTCATTGGCCCTCTCTGCTCCACACAGCACCAGTGTCTTGAGGTCTTCTCATGCTTTCCAATCTCTCCATTCTCCTTACCTGCTGCCAGCGAAAAGAAACATGTAAAAGGCTCATGTGAGAGGAGGCCGGCTGGTAGCCTCCTGCCTTGCAGAGAGGAGATCATATTCACAGGTTCCACCTGTATGCAGATGAGCTGGGAAAGTGACACAGGAACCTATCAGACCTGCACATTCACAAACCGGGGCTCCTTCCATCCTGAGATTGAACCCATGGTTCCAAGCAGGTGGGGCAAGCGGTTGCATCTTTATTGTTGTGTCCTTTCTCCTTTGCCACACATCCTGAGCAGCTCACCTTCCCCATCCCAGTTTCTTGCCCTCATATTTATTTCTCAGTCTACTGTGGCTGCTTCTGGCAAGGTCAGTAACAAAACCCTGGCAGCTCTCTCATAGATCAACTTGCTTGACCTGACCTCTGGATGGAAGCCAACACTGTCCAGCAGCCCTTCCTGTCCTGTCTGTCCTCCTGGCCAGCTTGGCTGGCTTCTTCCCTGCTGCCAGGCCCCCTGCAGCTTCCTGACCCACCCAGTGACATCTGACCCGAGTCTGTTCTCAGCCTTCTGTGTGGTTTGGACTTTGTCCCTGCCTGAGCTCACTCATTTCACAGCTTCATCTGCACCCTCCGAGCCATGCCCTCAAGTCTCCACCTGCCATGGTGACTGCCCTCCTGCCTGGCACATTCAGTCTCCTGGACTCCTCTACCCAACAAAGATCCCACCTGCCCCAGCGTCATGTCCCAGACACAGCTCATCACTTCTGCCACAGATCTGTGCTCCTGTGTGCTATTTTTTTTTTTTCTTTTTTTAAAGACAAGGTCTTGCTCTATAATTCAGGCAGGCCTTGAACTCAGTATGTAGCCCAGCCTGGCCTCAAACTTGCAGCAATCCTCCTGGCTCAGCCTTCCAAGAGCTAGGATTACAGATGTGTGCCATACGTTCAGTCCCTTTCCTGTGTTTTGCTCCTTGGTGAATGCCATCTCCGTTTTCCTGGATGCCCGGGCATCCAACCTGCGTGATACCCTCTTCTCTCCTTCCCTGCCCTTTTGTGTCATGTCAGTCACTTGGCTCTGTCCCTTCATCCACTTCCATGTTGTCCTTTCTCCTAATTAGACCTCACTGCCCCCTAACTGGGCTCCTGATGACACCTGCCCTTGGCGCCCCTCTCCCGCCCACCATTCCCCACAACTGTCTGACATGAACCATATGAGCTCTAGCTTGGTGGTTCTCAAGCTTCCTGGTTTCAAGACCTGCCTGTACTTTGACAGTTATTCAGAACCCCAAAGAGTTTTGGGTTACATTCATGGAGATTTGTTACCATTTTAGAAAGTTAAGCTGAGAATTTAAAAAACATTCACTAATCCCTTACAAATAATAGCAAAGTATATTACATGTTCGTATAAATAACATATTGGTGAAAAATGATTACCTTTTCCAGACAAGATCAGGCGTATTCAGGGTGGTTTGGCTGTAGACTCTCAAATTAAGTTAGTGAGAAGATGGACACATGTAGCAAAATCTACTTAGTGTTTCAAAGATTTCCGAATTCTTCTTTTGGCATTTAATCTGTTGTGATATGTTATCTCAGTTGATGTTTATGAAGAAAATCTGGCTTCCTACAAATAAGTATTAGGAAAAGGAAAGAGTATTTTAATGGCCTTTTCAGATAATTATGCCTGTAATCTCAGCACTTTGGAAGCTGAGGCAGAAGGATCATTGTGAATTCAAAGCTAGAGAAACACAAAGTGATTTTAAAACTACCCTGTACTACATAGTGAAACCCTAAGAGATGGGGATATAGTTCAGCTGCACAAGCACCTGCCTGGAAAGCGCAAGATCCCAAGTTCAATTCCTAGTACTAAAACAAAAGAAAAAAAAAGATAATTATGTATGTCCTTTAATAATACACCAGCATGCAACAGATGGCAGCTCTCTCCCTTCCTTCTTCCCTCCCTTTCTCTCTTTCTGTGCTAGGAATGGAATGGAGAGGCTCCCACATGCTAGGCAAGTGTTGTGGTACTGAGTTGCACCCCAGCACTGTGGCAGTGTCTGCAAGGCTAGCTGTAGATGACCCCTGCATCCACACATCAGTGAACTTTTTTTTTTTTGGTGTTTTTGAGACAGGGTCTCAGTATGCAGTTCAGGCTGGCCTTGAGCTTTGTAGCCCAGGCTGGTCTCAACTCAAATGATCCTCCTGCCTCAGCCTCCCAAGTGCTGGGATTACAGGCGTGAGCCACCACTCCCGGCTCATGAGTGAACTTTTGTCATGTGTTGATAAAACCCACTTTCTGTCTTGTATTTTAGGTGGAACTTCCCCTACCCAGGATCTTGCCATTGGTCATTTGGAAAATATTGGTTCGCAGAATTAATTCAGATTTTTCTAATGTTAACATATTTATGATATTAAAGTATGTCAGCTGGGGGAGTTGTATAGGCCTGTAATAGTAGTATGGAAGGCTGAGGCAGGAAGCTCACAAGTTTGAGGTCAGCTTGGCAACTTAGTGACTTAGACTCTGGCTTAAAATAAAAAGCAAAACAGGGCTGGGAATGTAGCCCAGCATGAAGGATTTAATCCCAGCACCCCCCTCCCCCTCCCACACAATCACATCACCAGGTATGGTGGCACATGCCTGCATTCCCCAGCTACTCAGGAAACAGATAAGATGATCAGAAGTTTGAGGCTAGCCAGAGCAACTTGACCTTTTCTCAAAATCAAAAAATTTAGGGAATTTGCTCAATGGTAGAGTGCCCCCTCATTCACTCCCTAGTACCATCACACACACACACACTCACAGTGTCCATTAATATCACCTCTGATCTCATCAGAAAAATCCTTAAATGCTGAAAAGCTCTCAGACTCGGTGCAGTGGACATAGGCTTCCCAAGATTCTAATTTTCACTTGATTATTCAAATTCTGTCATTGTCATTTTTCTTGGCATGATTTGGTCATTTTGTACTTTTTTTTTTTTTTTTTAATCAGTACCGGGGGTCGAACTCACGACCGCCTGCTTGCAAGGCAGGTGCTTATGCCACTGAGCTAAATCCCCAGCCCTCCTATAGTCATTTTGCAAATGACATAAAAGCAGTTAGTTCAGCTCATCACTCATGCTTGCCCAAGGACAGCTCTAGGCAGCCACCATACTTGGACAGCCAGCAGAAATGCACATGACATTTATTTCATTGTGCAGAATAGTAGAGGTATGCCCTTGAAGGTCATGATCTGAAAACCAGTCTTTCGCGTTGCTTCATCAGCTGATCTTTATTTTGGTTTGGGTTTTTGTTTTTGAGAGGGTCTTAATATATATCAGGTTGAACTCATTATGTAGCCTACACTGTCCTCAAATTCATGTCAGTCTTTCTGCCTTAGCTGCCTGAGTGCTGGGATCATGGGTGTGCACCACACCTGGCTGAAAATTATCTTTTAATTTTTTTTAACCGATGAGAGTGCATCATGGTGAGGAACCCTGCCCAGTTCAGTGCCATTATCTTAATTCCTCCTTGAGCTCCAGGAGCTTTAGCCATGATTGTTTTTATAGCATTGACCCAGATCTCTACAGTGAAAGGAGTAAATTATGTCTTCCTCTTCAGACAGTGTCTGAGGTACTATTTAACTGTCCATACAACCTGTGCTGCCCTCCTTCCCTGCTGGGCTTTTGCCCAGGCTGTCCTCTTGTCAGAAATTCTATACCCATCAGCCTTTGTGTGGCCAGCTTCAGTATCCAGTGTGCTCCACTTAGGCTGGGTGGCTGACTCTCCAGGGCTCCAGCGACCACCTGTCTGCACCCTGTCCTGGTACTTACTATGTGGTGGTGCCATTCTCTACCATCTTTAGCTTAGTTATAGTCTATTAGCTTACCTACTTGTTTCCACACTATTGTAGTCACTGGAGATCCTATCCTGATCAAAACAGATGTGTCCCCTCAGGGACCCAGTGATGGGCAAAGCAGAAGGGAAGGGAACAGGGCTGGGGTGGCAAAGGGGCCTGCTCCACATGGTTGGATGTGATGCCTGTGTGAAGTTCTGGAGGACAGGAGGGAGCATTGTCAGCATGGGACAGCAAGTGCAGAGGCCTTGAGGCGAGAGTGCTGCTGCCATGGTTGAGGATCAGGGAGGCTGGTGAGGCTGGAGCAGTGTGGTCATGATGGTGAGGGGCAGTGAGAGGTAGAGATGGGGCAGATGGGGGCCTGTGTAAAGTCTGGCTTTTCCTCTGCGTGAGATGAGCACCATTGGGAGGTTCTGAGCAGAGGGGGACACACTGTGACTCAAAGCATGTCGCTCTTTGAAAAGGGACCCTCTGGCTGCTGTGGAGGTCAAGGTGAAAACAGACCAGGGAACCAGGATAATCTAGTTTGAAACATGATGCAAGCTTAGGCTGAGATGGTGTCAGGGAAACATGGAGAATTCACACATCTCCTGTCTCCAAGAGCACTTTATAGAAGTCCTTGCTGGTCACCAGTGTTGGAGTATTAGGCAGGGCAGAGTGATTTATTTAAGGAACTGGCTCACATAATTGTGGCAGCTGCTAAGTCTGAAAGCTGCAGGGCAGAACCTGAGCTGGGGACCTTGGGAAGAACTAATGTTGCAGCCTAGAGGCAGAAGTCCCTCTTCCTCAGTGACCTGGTTGTGTACTGGGAACTGAACTCAGTGACTATCGCTGAGCAATATCTCTAGCCCTTTTGTTTTTTGAGACATAATCTTGCTGAGTTGTTCAGGATAGGCTTGAGTTTATGGTTCTGCCTTAGCCTCCCATGTAGCTGGGATGACAAGCACATGCCACCATTCCTGGTTAATGTACTGATTTAAATATTAATCATATCTAAAAATAATAACACCCCCCACTTTTTGGTGCTGGCATGGAGCCTAGGCCTCACACATACGAGATAAGGGCTCCAACATTAAACTACATCCTCTGCCTTAAAAAGAATCCTGATGGTAACATCTGGACTGGTGTTTGGCCAGACAGCTGGGTACCATGGCCTCACCGTGTCACATAAGATTAACCATCCCAGGGGCCAGGAATTCAGTTCAGTGGCATAGCACCTGCCCAGCAAGCACAAGGTCCTGAGTTCAATCCCGGATACCAAATAAATAAGTAAAAAGGTAAACCCTCAAGATTAACCATCACTAGCTTGGTGTGGTGGTACATACCTGTAGTCGTGGCATTCTGGGAGGCTAAGACAGGAGGATCACAAGTTTGAAACCCAAACTTAGCAAAAACTTTTTTAAAAAATTGAAGGTATGTGTGTATTATGTACATATGTGTATATAAGGACTTGATTGAGATTTAGTTCAGTGTGCAAGATCTGGAGGTTCAATCTCTAAAAAACTGTCACAGGGTCTGTGTGGTCCATAGAGATATCAGTATTGTACAGTATTATGCCCTTGGTATAGTCAGAGCCACTGCTTTCCTGAGCTCTCCGAGAGGAACTGCCCCAGTTACCCTTGATCTCATTTCCCACACTCAGCTGTCGCACCTCAGTTCTGCCTGCTGCTGCACCTGGGATCTGAACAGGAGGCAGCTAGCTGCCCACCTCAGCTCTGTCATGGCTTTGAAATCCTTGTATTGAGACTTTCCTCCTGGTGCTAATGGAGCTTTCTGACTAGAAGCCTGCTAGGGCTCCAGACCTTCCTGTTAGCTGGTCCACACTCATCAGTTTCTGTAACCATGGCCTGCTGGGACAGCTGATACTTGACCCTCAACCCAGTGATATTCCTGCTGACATAGGACGACTCTGGCATCAGGAAACAAATGTCACCTGGTCCTCTTACCTGGGCATTTCCCCTAGTAGCTGCCACACATGGGGGCCTGGGCTCAGGGAAGGCACTGTAAGTATGTGGTTTGGGTGGTGACATTGGATTTTGCCTGTGGGAGCTGCCTCTTTGCAGAATCCTATGTTCAATTTTTCTGTCATTAGGTACCTCAGTTAGTGTTAGAACACTGATCCAGAGTGATGGTTTACATTCTGGAATAAATAGTCTGTTACATTTTTGCATGATAGTCAGATGCCTGGAGCTCCCTCACTTTTATACGGTAGTGATTGCATATTGTGGAGTATTTTTTAGTAAAATCTAGGGCCAGGGATTTAGCTCAGTGGCATAAGCACCTGACTGGCAAGCACAAGGTCATGAGTTTGATCCCCAGTACAAAAAAAAGAACGATCAATTGATCCGGAGTGCCAGGCTGGTTACCCACACCTATAATCCCAGCACCTAGGAGGCTGAGGCAGGAGGATCACCCTGAGTTTGAGACCAGCTTGGGCTACATAGTGAGACCCTGTCTTGGAAGGAAAAGAAAAAAATAGAGAAAAAATAGGTAGGTTTCTTTCTTTCAGGTAATTATAGAATGCCTGGTAGAGTCAATAAAGTGTTGCTTGGGTCATCACTAACACAGAATAAAACCACCTAACAAGTTATGTGTTCCCATCTGAATTCTGGCTTTTTGGGCTGCAAACGTAGAGGATATTTCTTTCCTTAAAGCAAGTGTTAACACACAAGAGTTTGCCTGTGGGGCAAATCTGGTCTCTCCCTGTATCTATAAACAGTTTTATTGGACATAGCTGTGTTATTTACATTTGATCCCCAGTTGACTCTGTACTGCAGTGATAGTTGAGTTAGCTGCAATGGTGTCCTTGTGGCCTGCAAAGCCAAAACTGTTTACTGTCTGACCTGATAGGAGGCAGCTTTTTTACTGTAATCTTAGAAGGTTGTAAGAGAAGATTTTCTGTGGTGGGAGAGAAAGTAATATTTAAGAGGACAGGCTTTGGAGTCAGATGTGTGGATAGTCTTAACTTTCCTGTTACATACTGAGTAACCCTTATTTGGAATTCTTGGGGGCCAGAAGTGGTTTGGTCTGTTTCAGAGTTTGGATATTTGCATATATGAAATGAGAGGTTTGGAGAAGGGACCCAAGCCCAAACACAGAATTCATTTGTTTCACATCACCTGAAGGTAGTTTCATACAGTATTTTCAGGTCACCTGTCTTTTGGTTGCAACCCATTACATGAAGCCAGGTGTGGATTTTTCTACTCCTAGCATCAGACTGGTGCTCAAGAAGTTTCAGATTCGGAAGCATGTAGGATTTTGTATTTTTGGAGGAGGGATGCTCAGCCTATCCTAGCTGTGAAATCTTGGACAAATTATAAATACTCTGTGCTCAAAAAATAGTAGCTGTTATTATTAATATTCCAGTTAGGGGGTGTAGTTCAGTGGTAGAGCACTGGCCTAGCACAAACAAGGTCCTGGGTTCAATTCCCAGCCACGAAACAGGAAACAACAACAACAACAAAAGCATTCCTAGAGTGAAGGTCACAAACTGGTCAGAAATGGCTTGTTACATTGGACTAACATTTTTAAATTTGCCAGCCTTTAACTCTTAAGCTTTTACATAGAAATCTGGATTTCCAGTTTTGTTTGAAAATCCAGGGGTTCTGGCAGCACTGTCTGCTTCCTTTATGAGTTGAATGCTTATAATTAGAGAACTCTTATGAAATCTTTCTTAATTTCTGACTTCAGTGTGTGGAATGTGCCACTAGTCTCAGCTACTCAGGAACCTAAGGCAGCAGGATCACGTGAGGCCAGTAATTCCAGGGCAGCATAGTAAAACACAGAAAAATGGGCATGGTGGTGCACACCCCTAATCCCTGCACTCTGGAAGGCTGAGGCAGGAGAATTGAAAGTTACAGCCCAGCTCTGGCAACCTAGTGACTTAATGAGACCCTGGCTCAAAATTTAAAAAGGGCTGGATGTAACTCAGTTCAATAGCCCTGGGTTCAATCCTCAGCACTGGGAAGGAAAAAAACAAAAAAATCACACTATATAGATCTGCAACCCTGGGCCAGGGGTTTAGCTCAGCAGCATAAGTGCCTGCTTGGCAAATGCAAGGTCATGAGTTCGATCCCCAATACCAAAAAAAAGAACTGCAGTCCTACCACACAACTTTAGAACTCAGCCTTCAGAGAGTAGAGCAGAGGCCTATGTACTGTGACTTCAGGGTAGTGTTCAGAGCACTGTGGCACTCTTGACAGCTCTGCTTCCCTCACTGTTAAAGCTCTCCCTGGCTTTGCCCTCCGGGTTTCTCCTCCATGAGTCTGGCTGCTTTCCTGCCTGCCCTGCCCCCACTGGCATTCCCCAGACTGTGTCTCTCAGAGGCCTGGAGATGCTGCGGAGTAGAAGAGGCCAGGGGGAGGTGGGGCTTAGCTTCCTGGAGGACCCTGCAGTTGGGAGACCTGATGTGGCTTGTGTACCTCCGCTGAGCACCATCTGCCTTGTCTCTCCCCAGGCTCTGGAGGAAGATTTGAACCAGAAAAAGCGGGAGCAGGAAATGTTCTTCAAACTGAGTGAGGAGGCGGAGTGCTCCGTCCCCACCACGCCGAGCAAGGCCACCAAGTTCTTCCCCTACAGCTCTGCAGACGCTTCATAACACCCTCGCTCTGTGCCAGTTTGAATCCAGCCCCCGGCCCAGTGCCACCTGGTGTGCTCCACACGCCTGCCTGGTGCTCCTGACTTCTTGCTTGGTCGTGAAGGGCGAAGTTACTACGTGGCACCTTCCCCTAGTATGTCCTCATTGAGCGCCACATCCTGTCAAGCTGTGCATGACCTGGGATCTCAGGGAGGTCAGGGGCCAGGAGGACTGGGTGTGCTGCGGCCCCCTTGTTTGCCAAAACACCGATTTTACTGTCGGCACAGAGCACTGCCGATAAAGTCGCTATGGGCTCATCCATGTTGTGGTGCTTGGTTCTTTCTTGATTCCTTGCAGTGTCAGACAGGAACCTTAGCAGCCATTTCAGTTCCCAGCAGAGGCAGCTGGCAGCCAGCTGCTCTGGGGATGTCCTTGCTCCCCAGGGTCTCCCAGCCTGCTTTCTACTTAAGCCAAGGCTGTGTGCATGTGGGCGGAGGCGACAAAGGAGTGTTTGCTCTGCTGTATTTGCACTTCAGGCCATCCCCTGTTCCCTTCCCAGTGTGCATTCACAGACACACACACAGAAGCTCTGCGAGGCTTGCCCTGAGCTGCACGTTAGGTGGAGCAGTTGGTGGGTGACATGCTGGGTGTTGGCACTGAGGCCCAGGGAAGGCACAGGCTGTACTGCCAGTCTGCGACTTGTTCCAATCCCCCCACAGAAGCCTGTGTTCAGGGATGAACTCTTGCCACACAAGACTTCCGCAGCCCAGCCTGCTGTACCTCGCTGCGGCCCACTCAGTCTGCAGGCTCGATGGGAAGGACCTTTCCCTTGGCCTGGCGCTCTGTCCAGGAGTGCACCTTACAGGGCTGACCAGGCCTGGCGGGCACTTGGCCTCTTTTGGAACAGAAGGCATGGGGTGGGGGCAGTGTGTGGGACAGGATGCTTCCTGCTGCTGGGAGGCTGGCTGAAGCAAAGCTTCTGGAGCTCAATGGACTCCCTCCTGAGATACTGATCCTGCGGGCTGCAGAGTGTGTGTAATGCAATAAAAGCAAGTGCTCCAACAGCTTCACCTTGACTTCTAACTGTCCTGTGAAAGTAGGGTTTCTAGCTGGGTACGGGAGTGCATACCTGTCATCCCAGCTCTCAGGAAGCTGAGCCAGGAGGATCATGAGTTTGAGTCCAGCCTGAACTCCATAGTGAGGCCCTATCACCAAAAAAAAAAAAAAAAAAAAAAAAAGAACAAAAAGAAGTTTTATATATATATATGGTGTGTGTGAGGCTATCTACTTAAAAGAATCTACAGTGCTGCTACTGATGGGCATTAAGAGTCTAGTCACTGTTTTTGTTTTTCCTTGGGTTTTGTTTTGTTTGTGGTACTGGGTATTGAACCCAGGACCTTCATGCTGAGCTATATCCCCAGCCTTTTTTTTTTAAATTTTGATACAGCTATCACTAAGTTGCCCAGGCTGGGGCTTAAATGTGGGATCCTCCTGCCTCAGCCTCCCAGCCTGACTCTGGATACTGTTTTTGTGAGTTCAGCCTGGACTCCATAGTGAGGCCTTCTGTCACCAAAAAATGGTGATAGATGACAGACACCCATGAGGACTTTGTCCTTCTCTGCTCCTGAAGGCTAGGGTTTAGTATATAGAACTTTGTCCTCCTTAAGCAATCTTCTGGAAGATTTCTCAGCACTGCTTATAACCGGATACTTCGGCAGGGAAGGGCAGCAGTCAAACAAGGAGATGAGGACTTGGGTCTGGCAGATCTTAAAACTGCAGTAAAGTAGCTCTCACGGGCAAGAGCAGGGGATGGCATGATTCTCTTAGCTTAGCATTTGGCATGCCTGCTTCAGTATTTGACCCAGGTGGGATGGTTTCAGGTTTCACACCCAGGACACAAGCTGAACAGTTGTCACTTTCTCTTCTCTCTGGGGCACAGGTGCCAGCGGAAATGTGAACTGGCAGTAGTTTAACTGCAGGACACACACCCAGTGACTCTGGGCAAGGCTACTTGGGTGGACGCTCAGGACCTTGTTTACAACATCTTCTGCAGCCGCAGTGTGAGCATGAGTATTGGGGAGATGCCAGTTGCATGGTTCAGGAGAAAGTCTTGGATCGTTCCTTTTTTGGCTTGTCACTTACTGTCCTGAGCCTTCACGGAGTTGTTTCCTGCTCAGCCACCTGAGCCTTGATACCTGCCCTGTGCTTCTTTGGATGGGCTCCGGCCAGGTTTCCCAGCCTCAGCTGACCTGACGTGCTGTGCCCATCACTGAGAAGGCCACACAGTATTCCAGGGCCCTGTGTGAATATTTTCTGTGGCAGGGACAGACAGAAATGTTTCTCCCCAGGTCATTTTTAGCAGAGTAAATATAATTTATATTTTCTCTTTATGAAGGATAGAAGTTATTTTTTATGTAGTTACCAAACTTTACATAAAACCTCTGTAAAATGTTCTCTGCAAAGCTAACTGCAAGAATGTATATATGCTACTAATAAAACAACAAAGCAGTTTGCGGCTGAGGTGGTTCTTTTGGATTGGGGTGGGAAGCAAGGGACACTTCCACGTTTCAAATCAAGTGAGGGTTTGTCCTCGGTACAGGTGGCTTTCAGCTCAGACTTCGGGTTTCCATTCTGAAGTTCTGCTGACAGAGGGGGCGGGGGAAGGAGAGAGAAAACATGCCTGTAGGGAGCACGTTCTCTACAGACATTTATTATCCTCCCATTCTGACAGCATCCTCTGACCTCTAAGAGTTCTCACATGTTAATAGGGCGAATCAGATTGAATCCTTTCAACGACTTGGGAAGAAGACATCAGCATTCCCACTTACAAATGCGGAAATGTGGCCAAGGCAAGCGGTTGGGCCACATCTTAGTAATCCAGGCCTCCTGCCACTGCTGTCTGCACTACACCCCTCTCCCCCAAAACACCTAACTGCTTGCCACCTCTGCCATATTTAAAAGAATTAATTGGCACACTTCTCGAATACCATCCAGGGGCTCTAACCCTGGGGTCCATGGCTTCTTTGTACTCGACTGGCAAAAGTTGTGGTCTGTAGTTTTTCTGACCTTGAAATGAAATTAGCTTGTCTTTATGGATATGGCCAGCACAGCCCAGCGGTATTGACGCTGTCGCTGACTCTTACTGGCAGAAATCACAGACATTTCATATCACATCTCATCGGCTGCAAATATCTCAAACTCATTTGTATCCACCAGGAAGTTACAGTATTTCTCAAAAAAAAACCAAGCCACCCTATTATCTAGTTTGACATTTCTTCTGATCTAAGGAGAAAGATATCAGTCTGGGCATGGTCGTGTGTGCCTGTAATTCCAGCACTTGGGAGGCTGAGGCAGGGGAACTGGCCTGAGTTTGAGGCTACGTAAGTGAGCTCAAGGCAGCCTGTACTAACTACACAGTGAAACTCTGTCACAAAAACAATAAAGAGAAAGATGTCAAAACAAAACAAGATGCACACAAAAGGGCCTAACCCCCATGGATTCAGGTAACTTAAAAAAGGAACCGTTCCATTCAACAGAGAAAATTAGTTTTGCTTCTGAAGATGTTCCCATGTCCCATTATATGTCCTCTTCCTCTTGCAGCCCTTTGGACCTTCTGAACAGTACCTTTTCCGCAGCCAGCACCTGAGGTTGTTCTTATCTTTTCATGCTCTTTAACAGGGAACAACTTTGAGCATGTCAGGAAAGTGGATCTTGGGCCGAGGATATGTCTAAGTGGCACAGTGCTTGCCTGGCAAATTCAAGGTTCTGAATACCTGGTACTCCCCCAAAAGCAAATCTTGATGCCACTAATGTACACCTATGTACAACTTGGCCACTGTGCCATCTCTGTATGTGGCTGTGATGTTGAGCACCTGGCAATTCATGTTGTCCTCTGCTTCAGCCAGTTTCCTATAATACTTTATCAGTGTTTGTCTCATACATCACAGTGCGACTCAACCTCATGCAGGACCTTTTTTTTTTATTATTTTAAAGGGGGTAAAATTAAACATCACAAAACAGAACAAAACAGGACATAAGAAAGCAATGTAAGGGGCTGGAGATTTAGCTCAGTGGCATAAGCGCCTGCCTTTTGTGAGTTTGATCCCTGGTACCGGTTTAAAAAAAAAAAAAAAAAAAAGCAATAAGAGATATAAATTTCAAAGCTAGATGACCTGAGATCTTTTTTTTTTTGTCTTTTTCCTTTTTATCGGTACCAGGGATCGAACCCACAACTATCTGCTTGCAAGGCAGGCGCTTATGTCGCTGAGCTAAATCCCCAGCCCCAAGAGATCTTCACTGTCTATCATATTGTCTCCTATTTTCTTCCAAATAGTTGTCCATGTCTTCCCATACAGAGAATTCATACAAAATAACATATAAAACTGGTCTGAGGGCTGGGGATTTAGCTCAGCGGCATAAGCATCTGCCTTGCAAGCAAGCAGTCCTGAGTTTGATCCCTGGTACCAATTAAAAAAAAAAGAAAAAAGAAAAAACTGATCCGAACAGAATGAGGAAGGCAATTTAGGTCTTCAAAACCAGACAATAGGGAAGTCACTAACGGCTGTTGTAGAGTCTCTCATTCTCTTCAAAATAGCTGTCCATACTTTCACGTATATTGAAGTTCAACAAAACAAAACAGGCAGGGGGGGGGGGGTTGCTTGGTTTCCTGGCGCTCCAGGTCCCAGCATGGCACAGGTCCCAGTAAATGGTGGTGGCTCCTGTCCTGGGCCGCAGCCTGATGAGCTCACAGCTGCTCATCAGGGTGGGGAGGGGTTGCTTCAAGCTGTTTCTTTCTAATGAACTGACCATTTCACTGCCCAAGTTCTGAAATGGCCAACAGACCATAGAAAGACATCTCTTTAGGCTCCAGCTTGAAACCAACAGCCTCGGGAAACTGCTGCCCTTCTCATACAGAACTTTAACCTGCGTAACCAATAGACATCTTGACAGGGGAAAGTTGTTAACCCTTTTCTCACCTATGCAGCCTCCTCCTGTTCATGGACTACTACTCAGGCAATGTGATGATGTGATGGCAGGGGTGTCAGGAATGCAAATGGTGGGGCCCTTCTAGTGGTTAGTAGATCTATATGACCAAATCTTAATGTGATGCATATATATATATATATATATATATCACATTATATGTGTATGTCACATACAAAAAATAATATTCCAATATTTTGATACCTATTGTTTTCATTATGACTAGTTTTGCTTGTAATCTACGTGCTTCTTACTATGCATTTGAAAATATTCTTCTGGGGGCTGGGGATTTAGCTCAGCGGCATAAGCACCTGCCTTGCAAGCAGGCGGTCGTGAATTCAATCCCTGGTACCGATAAAAAGTTAAAAAAAAGAAAATATTCTTCTGTAAAAGGGTTCATACGCTTCATGGAATAAGCAGCCCTCCTTGTTTCTGTTTCAGAAAGCTGGTGACCAGTAGGGGGCAGGCATAGTTACAGTGTCACAGGGGCTTGTGATTTGCTAGCAGTGAGGATATTGTTGATTACTGTCTGGGGATGCAAATGACTAAGCAACTTCCAGGCCTAGCATTAAGGGTTAGAAGAATGAAGTTCCAGGAATTCAGGAGACTGTTAAAAAAAAATACATTAGCAGATATGTGAAGCTTGGGAAATGAGATCATCCTATATTCACCCTAAGCTCTTAAGCACCCAGCGCAGGAGTTGTTGAAATGAGCAAAACTTTGTTATTGTCTTGAATATACTTGTCCTAATGGAGAAGCAGACAGAAAAGCAGAGTTTGGCCTGACATTGTCTAAGGGTGTCAGGAAAGACTTCCTAGAGGTGGTGATTTGAGGCTTTTTTGTGGGGGAGAGGGGTGGTTTTTTGTATCACTATGCAGTTTGGGCTGGCCTCGAGCTCACTTTGTAGCCCAGATTGGTCTTGAACTTGCAATGATCTTGCCTCAGCCTCCTGAGTGCTGGGATTACAGGTGTGCACTACCACATGGGGCAGTAGCCTAAATTCTGCAGGACAAACAAGTATATGTCAGAACAACATGCTTCAGAGGTTGGGGTAGAGTTTAGAATAAATGATTTAAAAGTTAGAGAGATAGGGGCTGAGGGTTTAGCTCAGCGGCATAAGCGCCTGCCTTGCAAGCAGGCAGTCGTGAGTTGGATCCCCGTTACCGATTGAAAGGGTTGCTGGCCCAGGCCAGATACTGCAGCCGGTAAAGCCAAGGAGCTCCTATCTCCCCCCACCCTTAGAAATTACCTCTGGTGCCAAACTAAGACCAATGGGCTACCTGTGCATCCCTAATGCCCCTTAGGTTCCACCCCAAGCCGAGGCTACTTATGTGCCTCACTCCACGTGTTTCACGGAGAGATCACTGGCTCCAGGTGGAGATGCCACGCCCCAGGTGGTCGTGGATGTCTCTCCCCGCATTCCCAAAATAAACGTTACTTATATTTTCAGCCGCCACCAGTCCTCCTCCTCCTCTTCCTCCCCTCCACAATTCTATCACCGATAAAAAAAGAAAAAGACAAAAAAAAAAAAAAAGTTAAGAGAGATGGTCAGAGCTAATGAACTTGTCAAGTTAAGGTATCTTTATTGATGAGCAGTAAGAAGGATTTCAGGCAAAAGACAGTTGACATGATGGCCTTGGCATCAAGAGATGATCTGAGAAAGACTGAGATGATACTAAATGAGGACACTGGTCAACAAAGGTTTGAGATTTTAGGGCAGTAAAAGAAGACTGCAGGCTCTGTGAGGACACAGAGAAAGACTTATTAGCTGGCACCTGAGTGGCCATGGCCTGCATGGTGAGAGTTGCTTAGCTCTGAATAGCCCAGAAACACAAGTCTCAGCTCTGTGGCATCAGAGGTCTTCACTAGATGTAATAATTATATTGAACTAAAAACATAACCAAGGGGGCTGGGGATTTAGCTCAGCGGCATAAGCGCCTGCCTTGCAAGCAGGCAGTCGCAAGTTAGATCCCCGGGTACGATAAAAAAGAAAAAGACAAAAAAAATAAATAAAAAAAAACAAGAGAACTTTCACTACGGTGAAGGACTAGAAATTTTAGACTAGTTCTTGCACTGAAGTAAAGTCTGGGCAAAACCATTAAACACATATACTTGAAGGTTTGTGAGAGTTACAAGATAGTGAACAGGGCTGGGGATTTAGCTCAGTGGCATAGGTGCCTGCCTGGCAAGTGCAAGGTCATAAGTTTGATCGCCGGTACAAAAAAAAAAAAAAAAAACCAACAAACCAGATAGTGAACAATTACCAGGCCAGAACTCAAGCAAGGATAGAGGTCCAGGGCAGTGACTTTTACAGTTCACCCTGGAGCATCTGCTGATCCAAGAGTGGGTAACAAGGGCAGAGCTTAGGTTTCCATGAATACAAAGCTCCTGGGGACTACTTTATGTAATCAAAGCCTAAAAAATTGTCCTTGAATGATCCAGAATTGCCAGTGATCACAAACCCCTGGCAGAGAAGAAAAAGGTGAATCCTTTGTGGTTGGAGAAATATCATCTTGGGCTTCAATTAT